TTTATTTTTATAATAATATTCATTCTTAATTCAAACTTATACCAAATTTTATAGTTATTCAGTTTATTTTTGCATTAATTTTTAACCCAAATGCTCATAAAAATAAAAGAAAAGATGAATTTTTACTTTTTATTTCTCCTTTCTTTATAAGACTATAATCGTAATTCGTTAAAAACATTCCAAAGTTTTTTTTCATAAACTTGTAGTTGTAAAAATGACTATATATGTTTACAATAAATGTGCAACTATATCTAAGATCAGCTATCATTTTAGTTACTATCTTCTTCACATCTAAGTGATTTCTCTGTTCTATGCCAAAAGTTTTCATATCAATTTATCAAAGTAATAAATTGTTGCACTTAAAATTCACACATCATAACAAGACCTATGTTAAGAATTTGTATGTTAAAAAAATATATAGAATGGCTATTAAAATATAAAAATTACGTTAAATTTTAATTCTTTTAAGAACAACTTCATCCCTTTTTGAAATTTTTTTATTTTGATTTTTGTATTACAATTATTTGGTTTACACAAAGACTTAAGTTATAAGTTTCAAGAATCTACATACAATATTTACTTGTTCTTAACATCTTAGACATATAAAAATTGTTAATAAAAATATTCGTCATACAAATTTTATTGCAATCTTGTTTGATTTGTATTGGAGTTCATAATTAAATGTTAAGACTATATTTATGATTTACAAGGTTAAATGAGTTGGTAAATTTTCAAATAATCAACACTTTAACTTTAAAAGCATCAGCAATTTTCTTTCTAAAAATTATAATTTTACTCTTGATTTGAAAAAACAAGAGTTTTTGTATACAATTCATCAGTTTGTTGCTAATTTGAGTAATGGTAAAATAAAATGTCATCATCATATGATTAAATAATATCTTTTAAAATAATTTTGTTTCAAATCTGAGTCAAAAAATCATCACAATCAGTATGAAATTTTATTTCTGAAAATAAACAACTAAGAAAAAGGCAATTCTTGCTTATCTTTTAAATTTTGTTCATTTAAAGTTAACGAGATATTTTTAAGTACTCCTGGAAAGTATGTTTCGAAAAAAAATTTGGAATAGATTTTTTTTGTTGAAAAAATTCCCGAAAATTGATGCGTATGATATAAAAGCAAATAAGATATTCAAATTAAAATATTTTGCATTTGCAGTTATTCAATGAAATTTACATTTTCAAACATCTATGTGATATACACGATTTTGTTACATCCAATACATAAAACTTATGAGTGTTTGTAACTAACGTTCTGTTCGCCTAGTTTCAGGAGCAGAACATCGTGTATAATATCTGGAGCTGGAGATCGAATACTCTACACTCAGATTCTGGGATTTGGTCTTTTCCATCAATTGGTGTAGATGATGCATTTTCAACACATTCAATGAAACTAAAGAAGTCTCATAGGGTACCGAAATTAGCTTTTTCTTTCACCACAGCTGCCAGAATAGAAGGCGCGAAGCGAGTGAATATTCGTTTCACATTTTAGCATGTTAGAATGTCTTGGAGAATAAGCTCCTATTCACAATAAAATCCATAAGAAAAGTTTACCATATTTTATTTGGTCGTTCATAGAGAACAATACTTATCTTATGGTGGTACTCTATATTGTAAGAAATTTCATGAAAATATTGCAAGTGTGATAGTATAAAGCCTTCTTCTTTACTAACAACCCTTTCGAAAGCTTGTCATTAAAAGTTCAAATCACCCTTGCTCAAATTCTGCTCAAATCATCCATCAATTTTTTTAGAAGAAGCCAGAGATAGTTAAAGGCTTTCACTTAATTGGTTCATATATGAATATACTAGTAAGTAATATATTTTTATTGTCAAGATAAATCATCTCTGAACATCCTGAACACGTTCAATATCAAAGACATTCTCACATGTTAGTGATGAATAAAAAATTCAATTCTTAAAAAAAAAGCTTGTAACATATAGGTTCTCTGTTTCATAAGTTTAACATGATTGATTTTCGTAATTCAAACTGTTATATTGTTTATAAAATAATAAATACGAATAAAAATAAAACTTAATAATAAAACCAGAGATGGGTTTCTAATAAAATTATTGAAGTAATATTTTGATGCTATAATATATACGAAATTGTTTTTTTGAAAAATATCAAATATGTAAATACATTTGTAATTTATGAGCTAAAAAGATATGTGTTTTATTATATATTGTGAACTTTTTTAAAATATTCGTAAGTGACTATCAATTACTTAAAAAATTTAGATTATTACATTTGAGAGTATTCTAAAACTGAATTTAAAATATAATTGTATATTTTTTGAAATTTAATATTATTTTCTGCTATTTTGTGAAATAATAACAAATGTAGGACGTCTAAAGAATATAAATTTAATGAACTTAACATAATAAATTTAGAGGTAGAACAAACATTCCAATAATTACATCGTGGATTTTGTTAATAAGAGTTATGTGTCACATAACTTACAAGTTTGATATTGATTATTATGTATGAACTATCTCTTATAATCTTATGATCAATATAATATTCTCAATAAATTCACCTATTTTGATTATTTTTTCTATATTTTAGGATATTCTTTAAGATTTAGAACTTCAAAATTATTTAAACAAAATCAATAAAATGTGATACAAACTTAACAAAGTAGCAATTTAAATTTTTTTCTTACGGAATATTTTTTTTACCTCTAATAAAAAATTTTAAATTATAAATTGAAAATAATTATGAATTAACAAATTGGGCGAAATACGTTTACCAATTTATTTTTTTAAAAAAGTAAAAAATCTGTTATTGTAATTGGATTAAATCCTTTAAATTTGCGTGATTTTGCATGTGTTTCTAACTACTGAATTGTGATGTTAGAAATTTCTGCACTGAATCACAAAATGTCTTTCAATTTTTAATTGAGTAAAATATTTTTTGATAATCAATATAATTTAAGAATTTAAATTAATTAAAAACTTACATTTTTTTTCAAGTGTAAAAAAATTCAAATTGTGTGTTGACTAATTTTTATTATTATTGATTGATTCGTTTGTATTACAACTGGAAATATCAGACCTCAATTAAGTTAAAAATTAACTGATTTGATTAAGATAAAAATTTAAAAATTGTGCATAAATTTGAAACAAATCTCATAATTAGAATACTTTATTCTTATTTAGACCAATAAGATGATTCATCTTGTTTGATGTAAAATTATTTTGAAAATCATACATACTAGTAATTGCATTTGAAATATTTGTTTCTAAACATTGGAGACATCCAAACTATATCTTGTGTCACCAAAGATTGTAGTACATGTTTTGATGTTACAATGTCTATTCTTATCATAATCAATAAATATGAGGAAGACTTGAAATATTTCCTTATAATGCAAAGATATTAAATGAAGTAGTCAAAATAAAAGTATAATATATTTCTACATCAGTCATAGTTCAAATAACATAATTATTTACCTCAAAATTTTGTTAAATTTTATAAAAATGAAGTTTTATTTGCATTCAAACATGCACAACTTTTTTAAGTTAATACGCATTCACTTATTATTTTTAAAAAGAATATTGTAATGTTTTCTTCAAATTATTTTAAATTATGTTCAGGTGTAGACGTGCATATCACTCTTAACATTACATACTCCTAATTAAATCATGATATATTCTAAACTATCAATGTTAATATTAGGAAATTTATACATTATCATCAATAAGCAGAACCCTATACATATTAATCTAGGGAGCCGCTAGTCACCATTCACTTTTTGCTATACACCACTCAACCCCTACGCATTTTTCTCGCGCTCCGATTGGTTGGATTTAAAGCACTCTAAAAAATGAACACTAATAACGGCGGGCACAGAAGCGTTTGTGTTGATTATATTCAAAGTTTGTTGCTGCTTTTGTTGCGCACGAACACTGCAAAGCAACAGCTTTGACGTCACCGTCTTTGTTGTACCCGACTCGCTGGTATGCAAAACAGTCACGATGTAGCTTTCATCAGCAAGGTGTGAATTTAGAGCCGCGCTGCTAGCCTTTAGACTAGCGCTTTTGAACGATTTGAAAATTGGAAGTGAGTGGTGACTAGAGGCTCCCTTAATTTATACATATCTGTATCATTTACATTGAAAAAATCAAATATTATTTATTGATTAATTTGGACTAAGATTATTTTATAATAAAAATTTCTTCATTGAATTTTTTTTATCTTTGCATAGAATTCAGAATTCGATATGAGTGAATGTTTTCACAAAATGTCGAATATCTCTCATCGAACAAGTTCCTTTTATAGTTTTCCAAAATTATAGAAGAACAGAAAAATCGATAAGATCCTCGTTACCTTCGATCTCTTCAATTTTCCGAATGAAACATGTCAAGTTTGCATCTTTGTGGTGGCGGGAGGGTATATCAGCAGTACTTGATAGATAGTTCTATAAGCAGGGACGAATGCTCAAACCATAGCAAGTCATTTCTAAATCTAGCATTTCAAATCGAGAATTAAATCACGGGGAGTTAGAAGATTCGAACATCCGCTCGTTAGGGAGGGATTAGGAAACTCATCACTGGCTGCATATGTGTGGAATGTATTAAGAGATATAATGATTAGAGATATGTGAAAAAAAAAAAGAAAAAGGAAGGGAAGTGCTGCGGATAACGAATTTGGGAGTATATTAAACGTGAGGAAGACAAAAAGAAAACAGTGAAGTAATGCGCGACAAACCAGAGATGTGTGGAGCATGTGCCAAGTGTCCGAGATGATACAGACATGCTGGAGGCTTACGAGGACGCCACGTCGCGCATCAGGCGTCGAAGCTTAGCAGACAGGCTTCTAAACTGAACACGTGCTCGGAGAGCGAGTGCCGCGCTCGCGGGAGCTGCGTAACTGGTCATCGTGGTCAAAGTAAAGGACCTCAACTACTGGAACCTCGCCACGTTTGCTTTGTATATAATTACCAGCTCGGTAATTCGCCCTCGTCGACTACGCAAGGCGCGGACACTCTCGTGAGTCCTCTTCTCTCTCCCTCTCCCTCTCTCTCAATAAACGACCGTCATCCGACGATCCGCGAGCTCCACCTTGCGCCGTCTACAAAGTCAGTCGTTTCTTGCGAGATTTCATTGCGTTTGTCCTCGTGCTAATTTCGGTGTCCTCTCGAGCGTTTTTGGCCCATCCTCTCGCATAAATCGTCGGTTTCTCTACGTGTCTGCATTCGCGCGCTCTCGCTCTCGCTCTCGCTTGCTTTCTGAGGTGGGTGGATTCGGAGGCTGCTTTTTGGATCTTCATCCGAGTTGGAGTCTGTGTATGACCGATGTTAGTCTTTTTTCTTGATCCCGGCTTCGTTGCTTTTGAGTTGGGAAATGTCATGAATATTATCAGTATGCACACGAGTTGTAACGCGCGATTCAAAGGCCGCTATTCTCTTGTTACCGAACCCGTCGGTGCGACCATAGAGGATGCTGTAAGTGGTAGAGAGGGCGTCTTGAGTGCATCAGCTTTACCGCTAAAGAAATCAGGATCGATCTGGAGTAGCTGGTGTCGATAGCGGTAAGACCATTAATGCGAATCGCAAGTAAGAGGTGCAGGAATGGTATAGTTCAACCATCAGGACTTCTGATGTCTATGTACTATGTAGTCTCTGTTAGTGTCTTTATAGTTCTCTTGTAATCTACTTCAAGGTTCTTGAGTACTAAAGAAACGAATTCGTGATCTATTATGGCCTTTACTGCTGCAGTAGATGTATATGCCGTGAAGCGTTTGAGTTGCTCGAAGTTCGACATTGACGACTGCCTGTAGAATAGACGCTCTTTCCGGTAGTAGATTCAACATCAGATCTTTCTCACTTAACATATGTGTGGTCGGATGTTTATTTTGGGATCCTCTTATTCTTCCAGTCTATGTACTTCATTTGATGTTGATGTGGCGTGATCCTTGATTGTCAACATCTCGCTTAGCCGGATTCAAGTCCTCTTCCGTATCTTTGTGCGATAGTATCGCCCAAAGATTTCTCATACCTTTCCCACAAAGATGAGGTGGTTCTCTCTCCAAAAGGTTGAGGTTTGAATAATGTTCTCGATCTGCACTTAGAATTTGATTCTTGTTCTAACATGTGTTATCTATCTGCTCTAAGTCTGGGCGTGATGTGCCTACCATCCAGTCTGCTGTGTTGTTTGAAGGCTTGTTACGAAGTTGGGTGCAAGTTTCTCGGTGACTAGAGTTAACGTAGGTCAACAGAGGGGTGTTAGGGTCGTGCGGACATGGTTGGAAGTTTACGAACGTATTTCAATCCGTAGAAATTAGCAAATTTTTCGTTGTCCGTCAATACCAGATCATGTATAATGCCTAGATTTTCTTTAGTAAGTCCAGGCGCAGTATTTATGTATATCAGTAACGAGCTCCGACATGAGCTATGTTAGCACCGAGACGCATCTCATCATGTAGATCTTTTGATTGCGTAAAGTGTATACGCTCACACTTGTATAGTTTACTTCGAAATGTGTCAATTATAGTAGTTTTAATCGCGAACATTTCTTATGATAACCTGGTATTCATTGCCATTTCAGAAGAAAAGAAGGAAAGATTTTGAAGACATGACTACTCTTCAGGATACCGTTAAGGACAATCATAGTAGAGAGGAGCTCATGAAATTATGGGAGGAGCATGACAATTTCTTCGGAAAAGGAATCCCCCCAGGCGTGCAGGAGATTCTAAATAATGCTTTCTCTAAGGTGCCAGTTTCATCGTTTCCGGACCTTCCTTCGGGAGAAGGTAATGTCCCTCTTGGATGTTTATAACACACGCGCAAGAAAAAAGCAGGAGCTGCCCAAGTTGAGCTTCTCTGTACTATTATTGAAGACGAACTCTTCGCAACTCTTTGCTGGAATCAAATATCTTGTTCACTTTGTTTCAAGCTCAAATTCTTCTCCATACTCAGTAAATCTCTTGGATGTCTGCAGTTGTTGAAGTTTCTGCCGATGACTCCATCGCGGATACAGTCAAAATTTTGTCCAAGAACCACATCATGTCTGCACCTGTGAGGAACCCAAATGCGGATAGTAATGATCCATGGTCTACTCGATATATTGGTATGGTGGATTACCCCGCCGTGGTTCTCTGGGTACTGGAGCAAGCCGAACTCGCAGCGACGGCACTGGCTGCTGGAACTGCAGCTGCTGTCGGAGTTGGTGCTGGTGCAGCCGGAGCACTAGGGGCACTTGTACTGGGCATGACTGGCCCAGCTGCCATTGCAGGATTAGCAGCAGCAGCTGTGGGAGCTGCCATTGCAGGTATGTGACGAATGACAACAGAGTTTGAAAGAAAGAGAAACTAGGTTACACGTCTGGATGGCATGATAGCGCTCTCTGGAAGCAATCTCTCAAATGTAGTCCACTGGAGTTTAGCTTGATACTCAAGATTCATGCAAGGCTACTGAAGGCATTGCTGACTTATAGTTATCTGAAGTCTAAGGGCTTTTAAAAACTGTAGAATCCTTGAACGGGGGCGAATCAGGTGATGTGGGCTTATGAGTACATAGAACGTTTGCGTTGTCGCGTTATTTCGATTTTAAGCTCATCAGCACGTGTGGGGTTTGTGACAGGTGGAGTGGCAGCAGAGAAAGGGGTTGGGAAAGATGCTCAAACAGCTGCCAACGCTCTTGGCGAAGATTTTTACAAAGTTATTCTAGAAGAGGAGCCATTCAAATCGATAACGGTATGAGAATTTCACCTGTCTTAGCAAAGTTTTTTCATTCAGTGCTTGATAGAAGTTATCATCTTCCTTGGCTAACAGCGAAGCATACGCTTTTGCTTATATACTCTCCTTACAAGAAGAAGTTAGCTCATACCGTGGAAACTGTTTAGCATGCCGCCAGCTTATATAGAACCTTGGTACTCTTGCACTGCAGGTGGAAGAAATTACCAATTCATACCGCTGGGCCCCGTTTCTCCCTATTCAACCGGATGACTCGATGCTAACTGTCCTTCTGCTCCTATCCAAGTTCAGACTCAGAAGCATACCTATCGTCGAAGCTGATAAACCGCGTGTGGAGAACGTTATCACGCAGTCAGCAGTTGTCAGAGGTCTTGCTCAATGTCACGGTCGTGATTGGTTTGACTGCATTGCAAACAAGACTCTTGCGCAGCTGGGACTTCCAAAAATGTCTGCAGATCAGGTAAATGTCCTCTCCTGGATTGGTAATAATTCTCACTTCAATGATCATCAATCGCAGGTTGTTATATACCTTGATCCTTGAATTTAACACGCAGTCGTTTCCGAAGTATCTGATTATAAAGTATCGTTCAGATATACAACTTAACATAAGTTTCTACTAGTTCTGACTTTTACAAGGGATGTTAACTTCCAAAGTTGAGCTTGGCAGAACAGTCTCTAAAACGTACTTCTTTGGCAGGTGGTCTACGTGGAAGGTGATAAGCTCATTTTGGAAGCTTTTATATTAATGAGAGAGTCAGGAGTAGGAGGTTTACCTGTGGTTGAAGGTGCTGAGCGGAAAGTAGTCGGGAGTATCACAGTTCGAGACGTGCGGTATCTACTATTGAAGCCTCAAATTTTTGCGCGACGCAAGTAAGTAAAGAAAGATGCTATAAACATCAAGTTGCATATAATATGTACCATATATTCTGGTAGTTTTTTAGCACCGAGAAGTAACGACGCTAGAGTTGAGGCCATCAGTCTTCAGGAGAACTACTAGTTAGGAATCTTACCTTGAAGTTTAATCACACCATGACATGTCTATGATGTCAAAGTGACGTCTGTTGACGGACGGTGTTCTGCTTTCTTGCAGAGAGTTGACTGTCATGGACTTCATGAATATCGCGGACTCCTTGGGCAAGCAAGACGACAATACTGCAAAGTTCTTTCCGCCTCTCACATGCAAAACATCTGCTACCTTGATCGAGGTTATCAATTCGCTGGCTAGAGAAAATGCCCACCGTATTTACCTGGTTGACGATGGATCAAGTATTTCAGGTGTAATCAGTATCCGGGATATTATCTCATGCTTCGTCAGCGAACCAGAAGGATACTTTGAGAAATATTTTGGAGGCGCATTTCAGGATGCTATCGAAGCAAAGAAGTGAATGTGTTTCATAGTCTCCTCCGGAATAAAGGTCGGTTGTAAAGCACTTCCTCGTTGTGCATAGGCTTGTATAGTCTTAGAAAGTGGTTTATTCTGCACCAAATTTGACCGCCATTGCGGAAGGCATTTTTGTCCAAACATACGACCGATTATGAGAGCCCATTTGTGTCAATATTGGCTCCTGACGTTTTCCCGAACGTTTCGGGCCCTCGACAATGGGTATAGAAGGATTGCACATGCCAGCATGTAGCGGAAGGTAGACTTGTCCTTGATAGAAAAGGCTTTGATACGTTAGTTCCTTGATGGTAACATTCACAGCAATGCATCATGGCCTACCGCAGATACAAAGCAGATTGTCTGCAGTGTAGATTTTCCGATGACATTCACACCAGCAATTGATTTCAAAAATAAATTGCGAGAGAACGAAACAGATTTCAGGTACATTGTAAATTCATACAAAAAACTAAAAGTTTCATTCACTCATGATAATTGGGAGATGACTACTTTTCCTTCTTGAAAAGTCTGAAAGACCTCCCATGTGTACGCTTTGTTTGCCGTTGATAAAAAAATTTGCACTTGCAATTCGAATTCTGCTCGATAACAGTTCTTTCGAGGGTTTAACTTCCAACCAGATTTTCCTTTAGATTACTTTCTTTCCCTCTTAAAGTTCCTCCATATTAATTTAACAGTGGCGGCACTTCTCGTTCCTCGAAGAACATATTTTGAAAACTGGACTTGCCATTAATGTCAAACCTTAGAAACATAATCCTTATGCTGCTTTTGAGCCTGTGCAATTGAAAATGGAAAAAAGAAATTAGATGTAAATAATTTTATGAAATTCTCAAACAAAAATTCGGATCATAATATACAAACATATAATCCTCTACTTACTTCATTTGTGAGGCTGAACAGTGAAATTGGTCCAAAAATATGAAAACAAACGTTAGATGTTTTAAGCGAAAGAAAGTGAAACGACATGAGTTGTCAACAGGAAAAAGAGGTTGGGAAAGAAAACATGACCCGAGAGAAGTAGCACGCTGAAAACTTAGATGACGTTCAAATTCGGAACTTTCAGCTTAAAAAGTAAAATAAATTCAAATTGGATGACAAGACTGCAAAATATTGATTTCAATTTCTACCGCTACTGAACATAACCCCCTTGATCATTGACGATTCCTCCAACAATCAGTTATCGCTAAAATCTCTTTTTGTCCTGTAATTCACCTCCAGCAGTTAAAAAGTTCAAAAAACTTCTTATCCATTAGAAAAGAGTTCACGGAGTAGACATGACCTTCCGATTTATACGCCAATCGTCAATCCTTCATAAGCTGTAGACTACTCACATTCCAACATTAGCCGCCAGAAAATTTGCATCAGGCGGCTAAGGTTGGAATGTGAAACCCCGTACAGCATACCACATACAACCTCCTGATAGATACAAGCAGACATTGTCCGAAGTAGCAAGTAAAACACATCCACCCAAACCGGAAAACGTAGGCCACGATGTAAACGTAGGTAGTTTACTTGAATGACTCTTCACTATCTACCACAGGATCCACAATCACATAGCACTTCCAGAGACATGCAGTTCCCCACGAGAAGTTTTCAGGTGAAGGAGGAAAACATTCTCGTCCTTAAAGACGGAGGATACATCGGATATCCAGTCTCAAGAAAAGATGGCGAATGGGCCTTTGTCCAAAGTGCATTCAAGTTTTTACTTTCTTCATGACTTCCTTCACAACTGCTGATTCTCCTGACAAAAGACAAGTGTTTGATATTACAAGTTTACACGACGAATTCGTGTAACAAAAAATTGCAGAGCTGGAGACAGATAGAGATACCCAAACATCACTAACATGATTGGCATTGTTCCATGGAGGCCGATCTATGAAAGCTGAACTAAATAGTCATAAGAATCTAGCTGCACCCTCCACTCTGACATTTTCTTCTAAATTTCTTCTTGCATCAGGCAGGTCCGTACTCTTTACAGAATCCGGAACTTCTTCAATCCTACATGAAAACGCGAATTCTCCAACGATGAACAGTTATCGAACAACAGAACAGGGTACATATCTGCCAGTTACCAATCGATCGCAATGGAACTGAAGTAGGGCAACGGTCCGTGGCTTCGTGATAGACCTCTGATTAGCCACGGGAATCGAGCCAAATATCCACAGAAAACGGGAAAGTCCTACTCCCATCTGTTCGAGGTTTGCAACCAAGATGTCACGAAGTAGCATACACTAGAGATCCACCTCGTTCCAAGCTCGTCTCTGTGGCAATTCATCCTAAATGTGTGTCTAGCTATAATTTGCTGGCTGCATCGCTTGCGAGCAAGTCACATACAATCATTTTACACTACCCAGCACCATTTACAATAATTGGCATCCGCCGAGCTGCCGGCCAGTCTCTAAAAGCCTTCGCCGACCATTCGAAACAGTGCATCGCGAAATCGGAACTGCTGTAGGCAACAAACCACAGCAGCAAAAGGACGAGCATATTAAAAAGGCAACGCTCCCACCAATCCAACATGTACAACCCGAATGTCACATTGTAGACGTATATCTTCGAATCCACCCAATGCCACGCTTTCTGCACTACCCCTCCTCTCACCGGAAGCCTAGCGGTCGCCCCAGCCGTTCCATTCTGCTGCTGCTGCTGCCGCCCGATCTGACTCCCCTGACCGAACTTCCACCGGTTCCGCATCCTTCGACAAAACCCCAATGCCTAACAGTACATGCAGACCGTGCCAGCCCTCGAGCTCACTCTGCGCCCCGCCCCGCCCCTCCCCTCCCCTCCCTGCACTACAGGATCGATCTCGCCACACCGTTCGCTCCCTCGAGAATTTCGGCACGAGAAAATCCCTCTACTCCACCGGACGGTTTACTGGCACACACTGATTTCGAAAATTCTGTACCTCCCAGACGCAGCACTCGAAATCGCAACGAGTCGACGACGATCCAGAATTCGAGTCAGAGCATTCGATCGCCAAATTGTCCAGAAAAGCACGAGACGAAGGCCCGCCTGCTCGATCCCGAGTCCCAAGGGCCCTTCCAAGTCGCAATCCTGGGAAACAGCCCGCGGACGATGGAATTAGCCTTTAGGTCACTCACTCCGTAGGAATCATGATCCTCTACCCCTTCTGGCTGGCTCTCACTATCCGCCCGCCCGCCCGCACGCAAGACAGCTTCGCTGCACTTTCCCGCAAACTCATCACGATCACGATCACGGCAAGCTCGCACTCCAAATTCCCGCATCCCTAGGAAGATACCAGATCGACGACCCAGATCTATTCCGCTCGCATTTAAGTCCAGCTCTCACGTGCTGAGAATAAGACGGACGTCCGAGAGTATCCTGTCTCATCGGAGGAATTAATTGTTGTCCGGCATTCCGTCGCTCGTATACGGCAGGGCGTCTGGCGGTCGTCTGGCTAGAACGGGAGCCCTAGCTCTTCGTTTGCTGAGGGCGTGGAAGCTCACGGCATTCCGGTTCTCACTCGCTTCTGAGTTTACTGCATCGATATGAGCTCTGGACGCCCTTTCTAACGCTGGAAGATGTGGGACATCTTTTGATCGTCCTCCTACTTTATTCACATTTTTCTCTTTGACATGATCTGGCCTCAATTTAAGCGAGGCAATGTTTTTCTCTCGATGGCATTATAATCATCTCTAGCACCAATGGCCCATGGTCTTGAGAACTGTTTTTTTTTGGTCCCGATGTCTGATTCTATCTGCTTCTGTCATGATTCTGGCCAAGGTATTCTTGGACAAGCTTTATTCTCGCCCGATTGCCCAAGTTTCTATTCTGCCAATTCTACTCCCTGACGATTGGTACCGTATAAATTAAATCTTCTGCAGAATTCAAAATGTCTGTAATCTACACACTTCAATGCACTTTTACTCTCTGCATAGACTTTCTTTGCTGGCTTCGACACCTCAGTATTTATGTCATGTTGTAAAGACCAATCCAACCTTTATATTTCTTCATTGTTTAATCAAGTCCATATTTTCGTTCTTTTATCCATGATTTGTAGATGAAAAGTCTTTATTTCTTTCAAGTACATTATATCCCGAATTATCACCATATCTTCCACTCATGAGAAAAAAATTATTCAATTTCAGTATACTTGAGAATCTGTTGGAAACTAAGTGGCAATAATCACTCCATGTTCACTTTTCAACACATATCAAAATATTTGTAACTAGAATATCAAAAGTTCAATGATGTGAAGACAATGCACTTGTGATGTTTATATCAGATGATGTGTTATGATTATATGAACAAATGTATTATCTATATCAACTAGCTCCAATCATGTTACTATCCATGCACCTCATGTTTTTTCTCTGCTTTGCTTACATATAGTGTGCAATTTCATATGTTTATTTTGATTTTTCAGTTAAAATTGCAAGTGAATGTTTTATAGATTTTAACTCGTGTCTTTTGACTACTCAAGTTAGCTAGAATTTGATTAAGGTTTAGATAATTCCAAATCTTGAAACTCTATAACACTTTCATTATATAAGAGAGCTAGCAGAAGCTATCTTATATCTTTAGACACCTCTTTGCATTCCTTAACAAAGCATGAAGTGTTTTTGTTGATGTAGTATTAGAGCTCAATCACATATCTTAAGAGTTCGTTATCCACCATCAGTACTTGTGCACTAACGATGTATAATCATATTTTTTAGAGGTATCAAATACAATTCCATAAATAAACAAAATGATGGTTGAGTTCGCTACATGCAAAAATACATAATGTATTTCATGTGCAACGAGTACTTTGTGTCTTAAAAAGAGAGAGTTCTGTAACCATCTTTAGTTAGTTAGAACTAAGGTATGAATTATTCAAGATAAAGTTATAATTACTTTAGCATGTACCAGTCATAGTTGCCACAATCCGCGTGCTTGGTGGATAGAGAATACATTTGTTAGTTGACAGCACCACCCAGCAATCCATGTGCTTGCTAGGTAAGGATTGAGTGTGCTAGTTGAGAGTGACACTTCAACCATTAGTGTGTTTATTAGTGTTATCCGCCACGTCATCTATCCACTATGAGTGGAATGGATGGTAAGTATGAATTACTATCTCCTTGTACTTGTTGGTATATGCTATATAAGGGAAAGTTTAATCATTCTTGGTATCTTTGATTTTCAGAATTTATATTTTCATATTTGAATACGTTTCTCTTTAAATCTTGGTATTACAACCATGTGCACAATCCGTGTTTTGAGCATGGGAGCGTGATGGAAATCATAATGTTTAGAGTCAGATCATGATCACTAAAGATCAAAACTAGCAAACGCGGCATTGCAACCGTCCAATATTGTAGCATCCACTGAAATAAAAACGTACGTCTCGTCGCTCAAAAGAACACATACAAAAAAAATTATCTAACCTTCTGCATTGATCTCAGCAACAATAGCCAAGTGCATCTTCTATTTGTTGAGCTGATATGATGTGTCAAGTACAACCATTTTGACGTAAGTTTTGGCAGCACGTCTTCATGCTACCTCAATTTATAAAACATGATGGATTTTTCCATCATGCAATTTGATTTCATAAAAGAAATTTGCATCTACAGTCTTTTTTTTAATCAAAATTTTGAGCATCGTCATGACATCTGTGGCAAGTGTTGTACGTGTAGATGTTGATAGGAAATTCCAAACATCTCTTGTCGTGTATCCAAGATCTGCGACAATGATTTTGCGCATATGTGAGAGAATTTTCATCTTATCTTTGACGTATGTCTTAACATTGTCGCAAAGTAGATAAAATTTCTTAGTGTGTGTATTGCAGGCCGTTGTGGGTAGGGTCGCTCTCTAAGTGTGATCTCAGCCGAACACACATAGTTCATTCTCTTCAAATTTTAACATCTAATACCCGATGTTGTATGGTGAAATAATATTAATACTAGCCAAATAGTTGATCATGAGTATGCTAGATATGACTAACTCTAGCTAGTTATGACTAAGTCACCAAAGTGAGAGTCAGCTCGGAGGTTGCAAACCAACGGTTCGTTGCATGATGAAGTTCCGAATAATGAAGTCGTGTTGCGCAGCAAAGTCCTCGTAAGCTTTACGTGCTGTTGTGTGCGTTGGAAATAATTCGCCGACTGGAAGTTCATACTGTTCCTGAGCAAGTACGGCGTTTACAACTTCCCAATCTTTTAGCACATTAACTTTAATAAATCATTATGAATAATTTGTATTTGCAAAAATTTCCATGTGAACAATCTTTTACAATTTTAAAATCATACTAGGTGTAATTTAACATACTTTAATAATTATACCAATATTAATTAATATTTCACAATTTTATTTTCATGTTTTCTTAAAAAATATTTTTTATTAATTTGCATTATTTTGTAATATTGAAATAAAATTAATATAGATGAAACTTATTGGACAGAATAATAAAAAAATTATGATTTATTTAAGAAATTCATTTGATACAAAAATCTAATTGCAAAAATGTCAAAAGTGTGTAGATTTTAATTATTTGAATTAAATTTATGATTTTATTTATATATTATTATTATTTTAAAAATTATTAAATTTTCAGAAAAGAGATAGTTAAAAATTGATCGAATTTTTTTTTCAAAAAAAAGGTTAAATTTAAACAGTTTTTTAAAAATTTTAATTGAGAAGATTAAATTTTAACATTATTTCAATTTTAAAAAATTAAAATTCATTAAAATTAAAATAATTAATTAATTAAATTTAAATATAATGTATGAAAAAATTTCTTATAAATATTTTAAAAATTAAAATATTTTTTAATAAAATTTTAACCCATTTATTCGTAATATAACTTGGAAAATATATTTAGTATTTGAAAATGTTTTTATTTGACTTAAGACATTGATCACTCAAATATCAATATTTTTTATAAGTATTAGATCTTTTTCTTGATTTTTTTTATAAGTAAAAACAACTGAGAACAGCAAATAGAAGTTCAAGTAACAATTAATTTTATTTTTTATTTAATTAAAAATTAATGCATCTTGGGTAAAATTTTCAATATTATGACTATTTATTTTCATATCTAAATTTATATGTTATTATAATATTTTTTTAAAGGTAAATGCACTTTTAGTGATAATGTATGAGAATCATGAAAGAAAATTTTGATGACTTAAAAACGACGGTATTATTCAACTTTGATGAGAAAAAACAAAACAATATTTTGATAACTTGGAAATTTTTTATTTTTTATTTTAGATATACTACAATTATATTTCATGAAATTATTTCTGATATGGTGATCAATTGGAAAAAAATGTGATGATTTTTATCACAGATTAGGTTCCTTCATTTTCCAGGAATAAATCTGTGATGCAAAAGAAAATTGTTTTCAGAGTATTGCTTTGTTATTTTATTAAAAAATCAGTCATAAGAAACTTTATAAAATCACAAAGCTTCTTACGACTGATTTTTTCGTAACATTATTTCTTCATGTGTTATTCTGCAATGGAAAAACTTGAAAGTCAGTGAAAAGGCTTTAGATTTATTCTTAAATATTCCAACTCATCTCAGATTTCTCTGTACATTTTAAGCTATGTAGATTCATAAGTTATATCGATGTGTATATTATTTTGATTATAGACATGTAAAGAATTTACATTGTTTACACTTGATCTGAACGTGTCCTCTGTCTCAGAAAGGCTACGCAGTCGATACACTCCAATAGCGTGCATTCCTCTAAAGATAGATAAATGTACCCTTCGCCTGAAATCGAAACATCGTAGGTTGACTTTCGGGGAGCATCATTATTGCAGACGTTGCCAACCTGTTTGTGGCCTGTTCACCTGCACCTGACGTGCTTCACTGACATAAAGCTACACAAATCTAAGCTCCGGAGCTCATTCCGGTAAAAGACATTTCTTGTCTACTGTACCCTATTTTATTTACCATTTACCATTTGTACAGTACTCACAGAGATTTTGGTAGTTCATGTCTTCCGGGCCGTCTCATGAAGTCCAGTATGTAGTGCAAACTGGAAATACAGAAGTTCCACAGGCCAAGTATACAGACATTATCATACGGATATTACACAGGTCAATTATGCTGTGATTCGAGTCGAAGTCATGGAAGTTCAATACATCTGGGAGAGGCTCATTTAATTTTTGTAATAAAAAAATCAATGAACTAAATTGGTGTGTGCAGCCGAGTGGATACAGTTGCCACCGTGTACGTTGCAACAGGGAAAGGGGCCCGAGTTTGAGTCTTCAAGCTCCCAAAAGAAGCAGAATCTGATTGCAGTAAGGTGGGTGGGCTCTCCATGGTGCAAGAGGTGCATCGATCGAGCAGACATTGCATCTTCTTCTCCGCCGAGGGAGCCGCCGCGTGCACATCGATCACGCCACATATGCATTTTTCGCTTCCGGGCTCACTTTATTGAGTGAGCTTTGGGTCGAAATCTGCTCCTGCTCCAATCATTCTCTTCCCTTTCATTCATTGCGCCTGCTAAAGATGTCATTGTTTGCCTGTCGATGTGTTTTGATCATGTTTCTGCGCTGGCATGCATAGTCATGAGGTGCATGTACCACGGGACGTCGTCGATTAGAACCGCGTACGGCAAGAAATCTGTGACCAGTACATTGACAAAGTCCTTCTACATGGTAAGGCCGTCCTGCTTGATCGCTGTACTGTCCGCTCTTTCCCCAACTTGACTATTTGATGTGTGTCCAATTTGCATACCAAAAGTTGACAATGAGAGCGTCATGCATGTTAATCATGCAGCGAACGCAATCGTGATTTAGACTCGTCAAGGACACAAATTTGGGTCTTTTTACTCTCATGTGTGATATTAGTACATTGACGTACATGCATCTACTGGACGGAAGCTTCGAAATGGTACAACATGTGCAATTTAAAATTACAATCCTTTGGTAAATCATCAGTTTAGGAAAGGTTGTTTTTGTAATATAAATGTTCCAATTATCTTGTCAATTACAATGCAACGCTTTCCTGAAAATTCTGTAAAATAAAGGAGAGAAATAATCATGAATAACTACACAGGAGTAATTCAAATCTCTTAAGATAAATACAAATAATTTGTATTAAATGTAGCTTTAAGTGTTTAAGAGCTAAATTTATTTTTAATGAATTTTATGAATAATATTTAAAAAATATATTATTTCATGAATCATGAACATAAAAATAAATTAATAATGATTTGTTTCTAATGATAAATCCAAATCAGATTACCTTACAAATTCTACATCATTGAAAAATGAACACTATAGGGGAAACTAGTGTGAATTTGCTCATTCAACACTACTTTCAGACTATTTTCAATTGATCAAATCAAACCAAATTTATTTTTTTCGTTTTTTTTATTGATATTTCAAAATTTTTTTTGAAGATGTGCTTCAAATTTTTTTGTGTGAACTTTTATTAATGATTAACTTTTAAGCTGGAAATATTGAGATTTCTAAGAGATGTAAAAAGTGACGAACTGTGCAGTATCCAAATGGTCGCCACAACAGGACAATAGGGACATCACGAACCGAGCCAGCCTGCGTAGCCAACCACGGTCGGCGACCCCCGGTAGTACAGTACGGCGTGAAGGAACACAGTAGCTCGACAGAGCCAGATCTCGTGCACGCAAGTATCTCCAGTTCGCAACGTCGTTCGTCGAACTCGGGCCATGTCTCGTCGCCCGTCGCGTCAGAGTGTGTGCTCGTCGGGACAGCCGTCTCCATTTGGCGACCGAATGGGTCGCGGTAGATCCACCATCGGCGGGCACCGACATGTGACGACGCAGGAGATCCCACGGCGCAGCCCCGGGATCTTTTGTGCAGCGATATTCTCTCGATGCCTGCCTCACTCCCTCGTTGCCACTCCGGATTTCTGGGCCCCGAGCTGGCATGAATGAATCGCAGATGTGGATCATGCGCGTGGCTCGCACAAGTCCATGACAGTCGCATTTATGGAGCAGATCGCGATCCTCCCGAGTTCAATGTGACCGCGCGAGAGAGAGAAAGAGGGACCACCTGCTACATTCTCTCGAGAGCTCAGTCGATTCGACTATCGGCCGCCAGTTTCACGGGTGCTGATAACTTTCCGAGACAGCCACCATCCAGGGACTCGTGAATCCTGGCCGTGGGGAGAGAAGAGCGAGAAGTAAAACTTTGTCCTCGCTCGGATTCTTGTCGAGCTACCTACGTACGTCCGGTAGCATCAAGGGGCACCCACCTGAAGTTGCTCGGAAAGGCCGCGATAGATGGATGGATTAGTTGACTGATAGATAGAGAGATTGATTCATTGATTGATTGATTGATTGATTGTCCGAGGCCTCGGGACTGTTCTGCAGCGGCGTCTTTAGTGAATGCCATGAGTGCGCGAGCTCCAGATTGGGAGCTAGCGCACGGCATGCTTCGGGCGAATTGTGGATTCGGGATTAGCTCGTGACGAGCTTCTCGTCTCGCTCGGTAGTGCAGCAGTAGCGTCTTATCGCTGCCACCTGCGGCCTTCCGTGGTTTCTGACAGCCGGCGAGAAGCGAGGGGAGGGGAGGGGAGGGGAGGGGAAATGAACAAGACAAAAGACCAAGAAGAGCTTCAGACCTTCGGGTCGAATTTCACGCCCAAGCGTCGGTCGCTGTTTCAGAGCAAGAGCTTCAATCCCGGAGGCATAGACCAAATGTTCGTATCCGTAAACAAGCCCCAGGTGCCCAACAGGGAAGATTGGTCGCATTTGACCACCACGAGCACCGAGCAGAATTTCGGATCGCCTCTCGTCGCGCCCAAGAGAGTCACTTCTTCTCCTGCGGCCGAGAGCGCCACGAACCGCAGCGTTGTGAAGACGATGAAGGACGACGAGGAGAAGAATTCCACTCTCAAGCTCCGACTCGAGGCTATGACCTGGGCAGCTATGGCCAAAGATGCCACAATTCTCGCCCTCCAGCAGAGGTTGAAGGCTGCACTCCTCTCTCTCCAGAACGAACGAGACGCCAATGCCCAACTCAAGGTCGAGCTGGAGATGAGCGGAAAGGAAGTCAGACCGAAGCAGCAGCAGCAGCCGTCTGAGATGCAGAGGGAGGGCGACTCGCAACCACAGTCTGAGAAGGATGCAGCATCTGCTCTGCAGCAGCAGCAGCTGGGGGAGGAGGAGGAGGACAGGGAACAAGAAGCCTCGGTTCTGGATTCCGACAAACAACTAAATCCATCGGAATTTCGATCATCTCTTGTTTTGGATTCGCAGCAACAGCGGCAAGCGTCGGGTTTCCCCATCTAGCTTTCTATCTATCTAGCTCAGCTCGACCGAGGAATGTACATGACGACCGATGTAAGCTCCGCCTTGGTGTGACAGAGACATGAGAACAGAGCCCACTGAAATTCGTTTACCCCCCTTTGAGAGCTTTCCCGTTGGCGAGCGTGTGGAAGGGGTCGAAGGCCTCCGTAATATCTCGACAGAAGGCCAGAGATTCGTCGTGACAGATGGTCGTTGTTGTTCGTGGTTTAGAACTTGTATACATAATCACTGCATCTAGAGCAGGCGATGTGAGAGAATAGCAGACGTGGAGGCGGAAGCAGAGTCGAGTGACCCCACTATTCTTATTGCAGTGGCTTAAGTTGCTGCAGCCCCAGAATATCCATAAGGCCTGAGCGATGATTGAAGTCCGAGATTTTCCCCCATCGTGGAAGGAAGGAAGCAAGGAAGGAAGGAAGGCAGCATTCTACATCTGTCGTCGTCGTTCGATAGAGGACGACGGAACATGCACAAGATACGAGAGAACCATTCGCACAGCTCGTCGTTCGAACGCACGTCGAACAGGCAGCTGGCTCGTTTGCATTCCAAGCATATTGAAATCTGTACTCTTGATATCCCCCTGTAATTGTCCCTGGCCCCGTATAGAAGCCTCGTTGGTTCTGACAGGGAATTGATTCTTTGCGCGGAAGCTTTCTTCTGTATTTGCCTCATTTTCATGGTCGTTTCGTACTTTTGTGTTCTCAGCTCTCGTACTCATCTTTCCTCCTTTATGCGGATGCGAATGAAGCTCATGCTTTTGTTTCTCACAGCTTCCATCCTATCTTGGAAATTTTACTTGATGACGTTCAAGCTCGAATGCGAATGCCAATACTCACCACCCTGATAAAGGCTGATTTCGAAGTAAACCTGTTGTCAAATCGGCTCCCTTCAGTGCTCATCTTGGTCCATTGCCCAATTGGGGCCGTGATTCTTTACGCAGGAAGATCTCAGAGGATATGTGCACGCACAAGAGGTGGGTTGAAGGTGAATATTATCTGTACCGATTAAATTGTGGTGAATTGCGCAAAGCTTATAGATGGCATTGTGAAGCCGAACCCCTGATGTGGTGATCATTGCCCCTTGTCGTATCTTCGGCTCTGTGGACGAGGTCACGCTTGACTTACACACACTCTTTCTCGTGAGCAACTTTGGCCTCTAGCAGTTGACCACGTTCTCGTTGGGAGAGTCCAGTGAGCAGGCTGGATAACGACGGTTGAAATTTCGCTCTTGCTCTGTTCTCTCGTCGAGAGTTAGAAATGTGGCTATGCTATCCTCGGTTTATGAGGGGAGTCAGTCGCGAGAACTTTGGTTCCAAAAATATTTCTGTCTGAGATATTGCTCTGCCCGGAAGCACATTCTCTACCGAGTGAATTCCGTTTTTTCATCCACAAATTAATAACTCTTAGAAGTGTCAGTACTTCGAAGTTTGAAGTTGAATTATTTCCAGTCACAACTCTCTTCTGCACTACTTCTCGTACACTAGCCTCGTCTAATTCACTGCGACCGAGCTCATGATGAGTACCCTCATTCTTGCTATCGTCATCTCATTCCGATACTACTACCTGGAACTACAGCAGTGCACGGCGTAAAAGTAAAAAAAGAAACTTGCTCATGCTTGTTGAGCCTTTCCAGTGGTTCATGCACGACTCAGGTACTTCAAAGATGGTAGCAAAGAGTGGCCTGCAACTACAGAAGAGCGAATAATTTTGACTGAGTTTGCATTCGGATCTACCAGAAGTTACGTTTCTCGAAAGCTGTCGTGTTAACTAGAGGGATGAGTAGGTGGTTAATGACACCTTAGCAAATGGAATCCATTTCTCGATTTTTTCACTCGTCCATAAGTCAAACAGTCATGAACTGAAACTTGGCTGAAAATCTCAGGCATTCAACAGGAAATCTGGTTGTCACAACCAGCGGATACTCCAGTTTGCGGCGCAATACGGCTGATTATGGACATAAGGACATAATCAGGACATAATCAGCCGTACTGCGCCGCAAACTGGCGGCGCAATACGGCTGATTATACAGTAATCCGAGATCGGCCGCGGACAAAGAATCCAGTTTAGATGCAGCGAGCTGACACAGAGTGCGAAGTAGATAGCCACTGAACAGACATCATAATTGACTTGAAGATAGTGTGAGGCTGTTTCAAAACTGACGCTGCAGAGTGATGGGATTTATCCATATCACTCAGAGAATTGGAAAAACAAACTTTCGTAAGAGCATCTTAGTCCTGTAACGTTTCCGCCTATCGCTATGGTCTTTTCTTTTCGGTCCTACTTGACATTTTAGCTCTCGTTTGCCACCCGGCTTATCAACTGGCTTATTTCAGACTTACCGACTGAAACAAGAAGCCTTCATCATTTTTGTGGTCGTTCGGTGAAAATTTATGTGTAGCTGTGCGGTTCAGAAATCGATTACTTCTAAGATCCATGTCACAATTATGCAAGTTAGATTTCTTTGAAGTTGAGAGAGTTATGGTTGTACAAATCCATTCAGGACAAGTGCTTGGAGCTGGGAGGCAATGTAGAGAGACGCAATGCTTTCTTCTTGGCCTTCTCGTTGTACTTCACAAAAGAGTAGGATATGCCGCCCAAGGTGTTGATAACAAGCCCAGTCACATTCAGAGCATGCACCTCCACTCCTCCCAGGAGCAGGAAGCCCAGAATCTGTTTCAAAAGGAATAAGAAACGTCAGCATCAACAACATTGAGGTAAAAATGGTTGTGTGCTCGAGCTAGATTCTCATGGCTGAAGGAAGAGATATGCTTTAGAGCGCACCGTTGAGCCGACGCCTTTAAGTACGCCAACTATCGTCGTGGTCAGAGCAGAGTTGACGATGGTACAAAGAAACATGGTAAAGTTCAGCACTATGCCCATTATCAGAGACAACACCACCATGAGGGTGAAGTTCCAAGACACCATCTGCACGAATTTTGATGTAATCAGTGGATCAGGCACCTTCTGTTCAGCACAAACTGTGAAGCTTTTGAACTATCTATTGCTCCCTGTTCTACATGCAATCTGTTCTTTTAGCCGTATGGAAAGAAAAGAATGGTCAAGCATAGAGCTTTGAACCTTGTCAAGAAGCTCTGGCACAGAAAAGGAGAGCTCCCCAGTGCCGATGATGTACACTGCTAGAAAAGGAAGCGACAGAACAGAGTTGAACAGCATGAGCTCCGTTGAGGAGAGACCATCATCTGCACCGGACTTCTCTACCAAAACAAGGTAGGCCGTCTGCCAACAAACGTTTCACTTCAATTCGAGATTCATTCCAAATGAAGATTACAGATTGGCATGAGAATGTAGCTTATACATTGAGGCAGCCAACCGTGAAGGCTTACATGCGTGTAAATGAAACGAGAAAATCACCTGAAAGAGGACAGAAGTAAGAGCCATAGCATACCCCAGGGGATCAAAGGAGAAATCACCGGCTGCAGCAATTATCACACCTAGTCCCACCAGCATGACTGAAAACGTCACCTGGAATGGTCATCATGATTTTAGTTGTGAGGGCACAAACCTAATCATCTGGTTACATGGATTTTGCATGTCTTATACTGCAGCAATCAGAATGGAGAGAATCACAAACAGGCCGAGTTCCGAGTTGAAAGTTGGTCAGATAAATCGAGGCTGCAAGCTCTGAATACCTTGGGAGATGGTCTTGCTTTCCCATAGAAGAAGCCGGCTAAGAGAACTGTCAAGGGAGTCAGTCTTTTGAGAGCGATGTACATAGGTACATTGATGCCTTTCAAACTGGCCAGAGCGAAGGCCACATTTGCATTGTAAAACAATGACAATGGAAGCAGTCTTTTCGATGTTTTCAAGTCCATGCTTCGGATAGAAATCATCCCAAGTTTACCTCCGAAGTAGATCAGAAAAGCAGTTGCAGCTTGCTGCCAACAGAAGTCGTGTAAGAAAGACAAGTACATGGTAACGTGATTCACTAAAATAGAACTCGAATTTAGCTCGAATTTGTGATTCAAGAGCATCAAAAGAAACTGGTTAAAGAATCAGTAAGTCATTTCAATCCTTCTGATTATTTACATGAACATTTTTAGAAGAAAGGTTGAATTGGTGAAACGAACCTGAAGAGTTAAAAGCGTCATCGAGTGACTGTACTGCTGAAGCACAGCTTTATTTAAAAAAACCATTGCCAACGAAGCAAAACCGTATGAGAAGGAGGCCACCAAACTGCAGGCACAGAAAAGCGTGATTCGAGGAGTTCCAGAACAAAATTAAGATGTAGTCGGAACCAAAGAACTGCCTAATCATAAAACCCTTGGAACCAAATCTGCGTTATTTCCCTCGGTGATGTGTGATTGGACAGCCATACATTCCAGCCAGAGAGCTAGACAAGCCTACAATTTAAGAACTTCTGAAGATTGCTACTGTGCCGGGAACACTAGAAGAGTTTGGAAACAGATAAGACTTTCAACAGCAAAATCTCTTGTTAACTCTCTGAAAGACAAGGAGAGAACTCGAGAATGGCAATTATGATTCAGAAACCTGCCTTGATTTGTCATCTAGAGAGAAACTTTGGAAATGGAAATCGACCTAGTACATGCGGTGAGAAATTGAGCTGCTACTGTGCTGATTTGGGGCTCATTAGAATTCTCCATACAAACCTTAAAATTGGAAGTTCCTTTGGAGTTACAGCCAAGGGGATGCTTTGGCTCTCAAGCAGATTCGCTTTCTCTTCGTCGTCATAAACGCTCGTCATTTTCTTGCGTGGAAAACAACCCTCTGAATAGATATAAAACGCACTCTCTCCGAAATGGGCTTCAGAACAGATCCACGAATCGTCTCTTCATTCACTTCGAACGTAGAATGGAAATTCTGTACGGCACATTCTCGATCCTACATTTGCATTGTCTCCTAAACACAGATTTTCGTCTACTAGAAACAGTGGCTTTCGTAAGATTCTCGGAGATGATCCTCTCGGTTAGCAGAGCACAATTGACAACAAGATGCTCCCCGTTTTCTAATCACCTTCTTCAACATGCGATCTGAGGCGTTTAGTTGATCCGGTCTCAAAGTGGTCACAGTCGCATCAGAAGTACAGGATCTGGACGTCCTCCGGCATTCCACCTTGCACCTCAGAACTCAACGGCAAGAAATATTTCGCTTCCTCATGCCAAGTGTGTGCTCCCTCTACTCACCGAATGTCGAATGGCAGAAGTCGTCACAGCCCAGAAAGACATTACCTGCTTACGAAAGGGTGCTCGAATGGCAATAATCAGTGAAGGAGACAATATACGGTAGCTCCTTTTCTACGGCGCTGACGGACAAGATTTAAGGAGGGTAGAGGAGAGGAGGAGCTCCGAGGGTGAATCGAAGGCCAAGGTTGACGTACTTGCACCAACATCTGCTCTCAAGCGAATGAGCTTCTTCGTGAACTCAGTCTCTGCACCCAGTTGGTTCACTTACGTCACGCTCTGGTGGACCGAGATTTATTGAAAGGTAACCACTTCTGCCAAGGCTTTGCCAAGTCTTCTTGCGCTTGTGGTCAGCGGGACATCCGCCAAGTGTCATGATCTGAAGTTCACCGTAATTGTTATCAATGGAACCCGTCGAGTTTTGTGTAAAAGTCCTACATTAATACAACAATACGACAACATCGAGACTTGATTCGATTCTAGCCAGTAATAACCAATGATCGTGGTTTGTGCTACAGGGCTCTAGCATTGAGAATGTCAAAGGTGACATTTCAGATTCCATGCTCAAAGCTACTGCCGAAGATCTACGTGGTTCCTGAGTTCGTATCCTGCACATGTTCGTTGGTGAGGGATTCCTCTGAAGCGATACCATCATGTGCTCGTTGCATTTCATGTGCCTCTGGGGCACTTTGGGACGTACTGCGTTTTGACACATCGTCAATCGTGGAATAGACATCTGTTTCAAGAGCCCAGACTGAAGCGTTCACAGTGCTGCATACACCCAAGTGCTACCGACAACAACAGGTCCTCTGTGCCGTGACCTTGGAGTGCTTAGAAGTGTAACGACATAGACTGTGCACACCATGCAGAAACATTTATACACACAGATCTTAATGTAGAGACATTCCTGTCTTCGTAATCTGCTGTGCTAAAAACAGGCACAAGATTACAATCTTCCAACTTCAATTTGAAATTTAACAATCTTGGTCCAGTCATGTGAGGCATATTTGATCTGCGACAGTTTGTGCCTGTAAGGAAACAAGCACCTGCAGGCCAATATCTGCTGAAACTTCTTAAAGATATTCAAATTTTAATCTGTTTCTGGCTGATCAACGAATTTTCAAAATGGTTCAAAGTCCGGAGCTATATTAGAGAAATATTCCAGTCGTGCTCATAGGGATGAGTTACAGAGAGCATCGGTTGCAAAGTTCAATGGTCGAAGCGGTGTTATCACCACAAGCTTCTCATCTACTTCTAAACAAAAAATATACATACACAAAGTGTGCAGATGCTAGACATCATTTAAATGGAGATATGAGCCAATGAGGAGCCAACAAAAAAATAAGTTGTCCGATGCGGAGAAGATTTCACATTTTAGAACAAGATCATCCCCCACAGGACATAACAAAGAATACAGCTGACAAATATAGCCAACAAAAGCTGCTGAAACGCGATGCTATTATACAACCTTACCCAACGACCGTAATTTGCCGGCCGATGCTCAAAACAGTTCATAATGTCTTTCCTAGAAGCAAAGATTCCCAACTATTTGAGCGGCAAGGTTCTTGATTGACAGAAAGCCCCAACTCTAAAAGAGTGACAAAAAGCTCTCTGCTAGTAATTATGAGCAAATCCTTTCGGCCTAAGCGCCACCTTTGCCACCTAAAGAATATATAGTCATGAATGAATCCGTGTGAGCTGTGACTATCCTCGTCAAGCCCAGAGCTATACTTAAAATGGGAGATGGAGACAAGCGGGATGGCCTCCTCGCTTCACAGGTGGTCGTTATTCGTTCGCCTGAATCTGTCTTAAAAACTTTGACGGTTCCATCAAATCCCCCAGTAGCTATTACCGAATCCGAGTAGCTTGGGCAGTGCATACACGTCAAGGCACTTCCACCAACTCGTGTTGTCCACAAGGTTTTTCGCTTCCTGCACAAGATATCTTATCCATTTTTATAAACATAAGAGAACTTTTTGAGAATCGCATATTGAAAGCTTCAAGCAAGACAAGTCCAGGAAATACGTCACACTATATGTCTGTAATTATGACACCGATAGTAGCTTACCGTAGATCAAAGCAGTACAGATTCCCACCCATTGCACCAGCAAAGAGTAAGTGGTTCGCTGAACTTAGTTGCAAACAACTTATTCCTACAATTTGCCAAATCCAGCAGTAAGGTCTCATGCCTTGAAATTAACATTTTTTGAAAGAACGACAATTCCTACTCATATCTTACATGAGGAAGGTTATCAACAGCCCTAACGATAAGGAGATATATTTGCAAACCATTGATAAGTAGAACTTGAGGAACATTAAAAGGCTCTTTGAGCAATGTTAGATCCAGAGGTGAAGGATTGGGAGCCACCTGTCATAGATGATGGTCTCAGGAGAGAGGAAACTTTCTGTCCAGATTGCGCATCATATAACTGCACAGTCCCATCGCTAGAACCACTAGCCATCGTTTGCGTGGCAGAGTCCATCACCACCCCTTTCACAGGTTCTGTATGCTGCCTGCATCCATCACTTTCATAAGCCATGCTTCTCCTGTATATTCTCATCCAGCTAGAAGATGTTGACTGAAATGAGAACTTTATCATGTTGGTAGATGCAGTGAATGAACGCTCTTGTTTGATGATATTAACCAAAACCGAGTTTTGGTTGGCTCAGTGCTAGGACAGGTGAATAAAAAGACCTGAGCATTTGAGTGCATCTACCACTGTATATATCAAAAACTCGAACCGTGCCATCTGCACAACCAACGACAAGATTTGGATCTGCGTGGCTGCAAACAAATACACATTTCTCCATAAGTACTGAGGCCATATTTCACAGACAGGTATTGAGACTCAGCTTATCTCTCTTAGTCATTCTACGATTCAAATGTCGACGAAGAAGAAATTTGAAGGCAACATCCAATAAAGTGCTACTTTCGTCAGAGCCGCGTGAAATAAATCAGAGACTAACCACATTGAACAGATTTCAGCGTGCCCACCCATGTTTCGAAGCAGGCGCCGATTTCCACCTCGACTCCAAATCAACATTTCTTTCCCTGCTGCTCCTATCACCTTCACGGACAACAGGTACTTCATGGGGACTAATTCTAGACTTTTTGAAACATAAAACTTTAATACTGGGTATGCAATGCCTACAAGAAACGAGAGTGCTTATTCCTGTTATTTTCTGAAGAGATCATCATTAACACAGAACGGATCTTCCAACAAATTCTCTAAAATACCTCAGCCTTCTCTCAGAGAATGACCTTGTTTTCATCGAACTCAATGTGAACCACGGGGGCTTTATGAGGGACTTTATACTGCTCCAAGCATTGCAAAGTCTCAGCACACCAGATTCGAGCCGTCTGTATAGACAAGAAACGGTTGAGTTATTTATCCCGTAGGCTGGTCAAGGTAACAACATGGCTTGAAGGCTGTCATGCATGGAAATGGCGAGGACTGGAAAAGCGAAAGTCCAATCAGATGGTAAAGGCACTGATTACTCTTATGCTACTAAGAGACAGGTAAGGAATTTCTGCTGCACACCTGATCAGACGATCCACTAGCAATCAGTCCCATAATCATCTTGCAGCAATTAACTCTGTATTTCCAGACTCGTAAGTAATGACATCCGAGGCACAAGAAGCACAAAACGCGACAGACTTCTTCAGTCAAGCGACAGAAAAAACAACCCGACACTCGAATGCAAGGTAGGCCAACCTCTGGTGCCAAGATGAAATAAGAGAAGTTTTTTCACACGGACACAAAAATGAAACAAGGAAATTGCAGAGTGCTGAGATCGTATTAGCATTTTATTCTTTACAAAGTGTACATAGTACCTGCCAGAGTGTGCCTTCCATGTACGATAAGAGCTTGGACCTACAAGTCGAGTTTTTTGGTCCTCCTCAATGTAACAAGCTTTCCAGTCTAAATCTGACATCGATCGCGAGGAAGTTGAAGCGCACTGATCCTTACTTGCTCCCAGATTTTCAAGATCCAAAAAATATACAACTTTCCACAGACTTGGAGAAGTCTTGATCACGCGATGCCTGCCAGCCAAAACTATCAAAATCACTCCAATCTCTGAGCAGGATTAAAATTCCTCAAAAGAATTGAACACACATTTCCGACGAGGTTTCTAGTTTCGTTCAGACCCCAGCCAAACTTAATGAGAACAAGGCAAGAACAGACAGAGTCGATGACCGCCTTCATCACTTTGCACTGCTCTAAAATGACTTCACCATCTCTGAGCTGCAAACCTCCACACTCCCCGGCGAAACATATCTTTATACAGTTTGAAAACCCGAGAACCACACGGACCACCACATTTCTGACATTACATGAGAAGAGAATACAAAGAATTTGGTGGATTCCCTACCATGCAGTACAAACCGCTGAACAGTAGGCGAGCGAGGCTGGATTCACGCGGGAGAAGATACGCAGTAAAATGTCAGTGCCAAACTCATGCATGCCTTTCCTCCTGACGGAACGACCTCCGAATGGCTCCGCACTCCTCACATCTTTTCCAGACGTTGAAGGACATTCTTGCCGTATGGTCATGTCTGACGATTCAGCCCGAGTACCGCACCAGTCCATGCAGCTGCAAATTTACAAGATCGAAACAATGCCTTTCTCCTCAACTGTTCAAACTTTGGAGAAGCGACAGACGAGTCCAAAACCTTCCTTAGCAGCTCCTCGGAATGGTATCAGCCCTGCGAGGAGAAGGAAAACATCCGTGCGAACAAGTCTATCCCGTCAGCCAGGATCAAAATCTCCAAAAAGAAGCTTTGAGTCTCCCGAAAGAGAGCTCCAACTGCTCACATTGCAGTGTCGAATGAGTGCATGAGTGATTATCTGGGAACTAACGTCCACCGAGACTGCGAAAAGCGCGCATTGAGCACCGCAGGCACTTCAAAGCAGCGCAAAAGCTCACCGTAAAAGAGCAAAAGATGCACACTGCATGAAAAATCCGCCCGCAAAGAAGGCCAGAGTTAATGACGAGCGGAGGCAGACATCTCGCCGAAGGCACGCAGAACCCGGGGACGAGAAATGAGGAAATTCCCTGGATCAGAGAGACGCGCACCATCGACGCATTTCCCGAAGAATTGCTCGGCCCGATCCTCCCTCCCTCGCGCCCTCCCACTTCCCACCCCTCCACATGGCATCGGAGAATCGGAGCACGACCCTCGTCTTCCGCTCTCCGTGAACTAGGGCTCCGTTCACCCCCGCCACTTTCGTCTGGCGGGGCACCAAATTGGAGGCCGCGCGAGTTCCTCCCCGTCATCTAGCGCTCTCCCGCTACTCCCTCCTCCCGCTGTCGTATAACGCCGCCGGTCCTCCGTTCGCGATCTGCTCTCGGAGGATGGGACAAAGCCACCAGCACCGCCGGAGACCTGCCGGCGAGTGCTCATCCGGCCGGACTGCTTTTCCCGCAATGTCAGGAAGCGATCATTTGAGATTCTCGGCAGTTCACAACTTCTAGATCCCGGTCAGACTTGATTGCAACAAGTTCTGCCCTTCCTTCCACGGTCTCTGCGATCCTCGTATAAATTCTAAAAGACGAAGATGACGACGACGACATACGCTGAGCGATGTACGCCCTGATTCGTCGGAGACAACAGAGAGCACTTTTCGTGAAATGGAAATTAAGTCGAAATTTAGTCTAGAGTTCATCACGTAAGATCAAATTGTGAATCAATACGAAACTGTCCCAGTCGAAATTAAACTGAGAAAGTCTCGTCTCGAATTAATTCCGTCAGTAAGATTATATGGGCACCTTTTTGGCTCTCCAATTAATTCATTGCGAAATTCGAACGGGCTTCGCAATGTGTGCGAGAGTGAGATAGCGGAGAATGGCTTGGGGAAGCCAAAACTGGCGGCACTTCCAACTTGGCGGTTCGCCATCTCTCCCGCGTCTTCACTCGAACGAGAGAGCGAACGAATTCTGCCAGCGCAGCGTGCAAATGTTGCAATGGACCGATGACTGAATGAGTGAGTGAGTTACAGTATAGTCGAGCTATTGCGTTGATCCGAGCGTGGTGCGATTTCACTTGATCTGTGCCCGGGACGTGGGAGGAAATGTCCGGCTGAGTGGTTGGCAGTGCTTTGTACTGGAAGTGGCTTCCTGGGTCGTGTTTGTCCTATGAGCTGGGATTTTGAGGAATTGAAGCCTTACTTTTTTAATCATGCAGAGTTGAGTGTAGCAATTACATTTTCGGAGTCCTGAAATCGAGAATAAGTGGATCTGGATTTCACTTAAAGAGGACGAAATTGATGGTTTTCCAAGTTTGAAACATGTTGCACGAGTTATTGTTGGCCCTTGTGGGCTGCACGGGCGATGTTTTCATGGATGTTCGAGAGCAGGCTCAAGCTCTTGGGCTGAATGGGGACCAAGATGACAAAGCAGACGTTGAAGATGTTGGGGACGAATGCACCTTTAGGCTGGCGCCAGACATCTCTTTTCTCCAGCAATCCGAAAGGTACGTGATTAATATTATTTTTGTTGCTATCTCAACATCATGCGTAGATATCCAGAACTTTCTAAGTTGCAATAACTGTCCTCGACCCTTTTTAATAATTCAAATTTTCTCCTGTTCGGAGAACTTTGCGCTGGTTCATGTTTTTGAATTGATCGGTAATGTTTCTTGATTCTGATTGTTGTGATGCTCTGATCTTTGTAAGACAGAGAGTTGTTGGATCGTCTGCTACGCCTGGGCTTCTATTATCGAGAGCTTGATCGATTCGTCATGCGGTCTCGAAATCTAAGCTGGATCAGAACACCATATCCAAATGTAGACACTGTTACAAATGCGGCAAGTGCTTTGGTCAAGAGAGAAAAAGCACCCAGTGTATACAGGAGAGCCCTGGCAAATGGTATCGCAGAAGTTTTGGCTGTTTACAGATCAGCAGTCCTGAAGGTTGAACAGAACTTGCTATCGGATCCTGTACCTGTACTGGCAAGTGTCACACAAGGTCTACATCAGGTAAGACCATGAATTGAAATCATACTTTGACACTCACATTTGCATCAAAATTTTTATAGGGCACATTTTTTGAAGTGCAAAGTCCGAAGATGAAGGATTGGTTACTTTTTTTCCCACAGTTTGAAATGCTGCTGCCACCGTTGTATGCTTTGGTACGTGAAGTTGAACGAGAAGAACTGAAGGGTGGTCGTCTTCTCAATCTGCTTCATGCAAAATGTCATTGTGGAATTCCAGAACTCCAGGCATGTATGCAAAGGTATGCCAATAGAACTTGTAATTTGAACTGGTATGCAGACATGACCAAATGGTGAAAAGAGACACTCTTGAAAGCTTTACAATTTTTTTAGTCGGACTGTTTTCACAATTTTACTGTTTATTTGTTTTTGTAGCCGGACTCGCTATGTATGTTTACTTATTTTGCTTGAAGGAGGTACAAAATATCACTCACTGCGTTTATCTGGAAAGATAAGATATGTTTTGAGCATAATTCAATTTTCATAGCATGATAGTACCTGTTAGAAGTAGAGGGACTGCTCAGTTAAGCTTAGGGTTTGTGCAACCTGTATGGTACCCACATTGTGCACATGAGTCTTTGTTTCTTTTCTGTAGGCTACTTTGGCATGGGCATCAAGTGATGTATCGGCAACTTGCAGCCTGGATGGTTTATGGGCTATTGCAAGACCAACATATGGAGTTCTTTATCAGCAGGTGATCCTGAAATGCTGAAATTAAGATGAGTTTTGATTTGTTTTGGCATGACGTTTGCTAGTGGTCATTAGAAAGAAAGGTTCTGTAGCGATTAGTTTTGAACGTTTATGATGCATATGTAAGCAGTCTCAAGATCTTTGTCTTAAAAGTTCATTCTAACTATTATGACTTATGACAAATGGTCCTTTCTCATCTCCTTTTCTTGTGTCTCACATCTATATCAGGCGCCAAGACTCCGAAGGCCAAAATGGACTTACAGACGCGGAATCGCTAGCCGAGAAATCAGGATCTCGTTCAGCTGAAGATGCTCGCTTAGCTGATTGGCACACAGGTTTCCACGTTTGTCTTGTGAGTAATTTCTTGTCGAGATTCTTGTTGACTCTGTTGTTAGTTGTTATGATCTTGAGAGTGTTTGAATGAAAGATCATGTATAGTCAGGAGCTGAGTCAGATTTAATTTGTGAAGTCGTTTATAGCTTTTGCATTGTTTGAGGGCCAACATATGTTGCTGATTCCTCTCCATCTTATGCCATGTATTCCTTTCATGAAAGTTTGTAAGTCTGATGCTGCTTTTAGATATCTTGTCAGACTCATTGAATAGAAAGGAGTTGAATGACAAACATCTATCTGACTGCTGTGGAAATGATCAGGACATGTTGCCAGAGTACATGCAGCTTTCTGTAGCGGAGTCCATTCTATTTGTGGGCAAAGCAGTGAGGGTCCTTCGCAATCCAAGTACTTCTTTTAAACTCCAACCGGCAGGTTCACAGCGGCCGAGCTCTAAAGAATCACAGAGACCTGATGGAGTATTGATGCAATTTGTTAAGGACTCACATTCAACAAGAGCAGCCTATCAAAGAGTTGAATTGTTACCTCAAGAAGATGCCGACAAGATAGCCTCTGTGCTTCGAGATTTGAAGGTTGTATAAAGCTCATTCTACATGCGTCTACTATTATAAGTACATTTGGTCTACGTCTTGAAAAGCACAGTAGTACTAACCCCTTCGAACTTTGCAGGAGTCTCGTGAATTTCACAAAATGGCAGTGGAGCGTGCTGTTGATACCATACGGGCTATTGCAGCAACTCATCTTTGGCAGGTATATGACCTCTACAATGTCTACGTTGCATTGTACGAGTTTTACCTGAAGTACTTTCAGCTTCTTGGATGAATAATTTATCGATTTAGATAACAAATGATAGATCCATGCATCACTTCTTCAGTGAGCTCATTGTCGGTCATGAGTATATTTACTTATTTTATGGACTCACACTAAACGTTTTCAATGCAGCATACATGATATCTTCTACCTTACATACCTGAATTGGTTTTCTACAGCTGGTTGTTGTGCACGCTGATCTTCTGGGTCACCTGAGAGCTCTGAAGGACTATTTCCTTCTTGCCAAAGGAGACTTCTTCCAGGCAAGGCTCAAGACAGCACGTTTACTATTCATTCAAAAAATGAAATGATGAACATTTGCTTTTCTCGATGTAATTCCGCATGAAGTTAGTCTCAATTGACATCCGTCTCAAGCAAAATTCGAAGTGGTTAGAATGATTCTTTGCTTAGCATCTGAAAGCCCACTGGAACGCCAATTGACCTCGAAAGTTGTTTGTGTGCAGTGCTTCTTGGAAGAAAGTCGGGGTTTGATGCGACTTCCTCCACGGTCATCATCCGCTGAAGCAGATCTTAAAGTTCCCTTCCAACAGGTAGAACAGATTCCAGATGTCATGTAAGCCTTTGCATGCATGTAATCACGTCGCATACTCACGTTCTAACTCTGAACAGGCAGCAATCAAAACAATCGGTGACGATGATAAATACTTCTCAAGAGTATCCCTGAGGTGACACAGCTTCACCAGATGCCTTTCTTGACTTAGAGAGTCATATTTTCTTTCACTTTTGATACAGAAGTACTTCTGTGGAAGTTTTCCTGGAAAGTCTGCAGGAGTTGTTTGTCTTCATCTTGGAGAAATCATCCACTCGACATTTGCAGCTAGAGTCGCTCAGCTCATGCTTTCTTTGTACAGGATGCCAAACTTAAGTAAGACAACATTGATGGGGAGTTCACAAGGAGATCACCTGAGACAAAGAACTGATAGTGCTCTCACTTCAGTAATGAATGCATATGGTGATTCATCAGCTGGTCCTGCGTATGACGGATGGGATGGCCTTGCGTTGGAGTACAGTATCGACTGGCCATTACAGCTTTTGTTCACACGTGAAGTTCTAGCAAAGTACATAGTCCGCATCCTCTCTAAATCCATCTATTTTTGTCAAAACGCCTTGCTTCGGCAAGTGCCACATAAAACCGAAGGATTTACGTGTCCTGCTAATGCTCCTAATCTGTTGAGGATATAATAACTTTGTTTGAGTAGAAGTAGGTCGTTTTCGCAGTAGGCCTTGCACGTTTGTTCATCCTTTTCAAAGTCAGCAGGACTTTGCAACTATATATCAATAATTTCTTGTGTATGCAACTTCTTCGGTCCTACATTATATGTTATCTGAACTTCTGTGTTGAATTTAAAACATGTGATCCACGCTGTGCTTTAATGTTCTGATCATGGTTGCTTGTGGGCATGTACGTTTCTTATCAGATATAGCAAAATTTTCCAGTACCTTCTTCGACTGAAGCGGATACAGTTAGAACTGGAGAAATCCTGGGCAGAAGCTATGCACTACGATAGAGCGGATTCTGCCAAGCAACGAAAGGATCCAGAGAACGGAGATTTTGCAAGTCAACGTCGACAGCTGCGGATGCCCATGTGGCGTGTACGGCAGCACATGACTTACCTCATAACGAACTTGCAGTTTTATATACAGGTACTTTGAAGGATTTTCTTGTTTTGGTGGATGAGTCGTTACGGGATGCCTCGTTGATACTTGGGATTTTGGAACTAGTAATCTTACTGTCCCTTTCCACTCTCAAGTAATTGTTTTTCATTTACCTCCCACTTCATCATCCAGGCGGTTTCTGCGGTCTTCAGCCTCTGACATGTACATACTTATGAGTACATTGAGTTTTGGTTAGCTTAGCTATCTCATTTAGTTTGAAGCCTACTCGTTTAGCTTCAGCAGCACATTAGTTTATCGTCCAGATAAACTAATGTGCTACTAAACTAAACTCTCTACGTTTCAACATATTCTTGTGAATTGTTGGTGATTAAGCCACTGTGAATCGAACGATGTCATACTTTCCTTCCTTGAGGAGTCTTAATTAATTTTGTCATAGGCACCTTTGTTTTGCACCTTCTTTTTGCACTCACTGGCAGACATCGTCTTTAGCGGCATATAATTTATTCAGTCTCATTTTATATGTTTCTTCTCCTTCTGGTGTTGGCTCGACTTCTGGATGAAACTTGTGCGGTGGTTACCGGTGGTCTTAATGTGGTACATCTTGGCGGTAGGTTGATGTCATCGAGTCACAGTGGAATCTTCTCCAGGAGCGAGTCGAAGCATCCAAAGATTTCACGGAACTTGCACGTTTTCATCAGGAGTAAGAAGTTGCATGATGCTGCACCTGCAATCGCACTTGGAGCTGTCGTGACATTCTGTAGCCTCAACATTGTCCTTGAGAGTTTATGGCTGTTTTGATTTGATTTCACAAGAAGAGAATCTGCGAGTTTCTCCTGAACCAGACTCTGAATTCCATTTTGTCTAAACCGTTTCAGGTATTTATCTGCTTTGATTTCACAATCTTTTCTGGATATCGGATCTGTTTCAAGAATTCTGGACAGCATTATCAAGCTATGCCTTCAACTCTGCCGTGTAATAGAACAACAGGAAGGAACCCCAAGTGCGTCTGAATTAGAACAGATTACAGAGGTGAGCCTTTACGACCTTGTCCATTCCTTTAAGGTTCATCTTGCCGTTCGTTATTGTGTCCAACAGACACTCAAGCTTCGAAGTGTCCAGTTCCATCCGGTAATAGTTGTTTTTAAACGAACATGTAGCTTTTGTCAATCTGTGATAGCGCAAGGCCAGTGTAGACCGATCTGTTTAATCGTGCACACACCGACGTAGCCTTGAATCAATGTACATAGTGACTATCGGACCTTCAAGAGAAGCTTGAGAAGTCAGTAAATGGCGAACGGGTAGGATTTTCCTCCTGCGTTTTCGATTGTTTCAATTCGAAAATTTCTAGTTCCTGGTTGGAACGTGCAGATGTAGAAGTCACGTCAACCCTCACGTTTTCCATTTTGTGTCAACTGAGTAAAATTCAGGCTTGCGCGAAAGAGTCTAGTATATCTGAAGTTGTCGCTTGCTTCTAACTTTTTGACCTTGCCATGACATGAAGGAGTTCAACAAGAAGTCGAATTCCCTGTATACCATATTAAGAAGCAGCAAGCTTGCCGGTAGTCAGCGTGCCCCGTTTCTCCGCCAATTCCTTCTTCGATTGAATTACAATTCCTTTTTCGAGGTACCACATTGAGCTTTCAGTTGGTCTTTCTACGCAGGAACACCACACCACGACTTGCCTTACCAGGAAACATGGCATCGAGTCATTGCTTTCCAGACAAGGACAGTAATGGCAGCAATGGCTTTGTAGTGAGATGTTGGTCCAGATTTCTATTTGCAACACTCATCCAAGTTCTGACGCCTGTCTCTTGCTGCAGGCCACTGCTAGGGGGGCTCTGAACATGGCTCGGCCTACTCTTGCACACAGGTGAAGCGTTCAAGACGGATCGTCTAGGAAATCACCGAGGGCATGCATGGGTTTCTAAGAAGACAAGCTCTGCCATGCAAGCAAAGATCACTCGGCTCTAGCCAGTAGGTGAACGACTGTAAAAAGCTGATGTTGCCGAGATGAACTTCTCTCGTGCTTCAAAAAGGAAGTCCCGAGTGGTCACCGAAAAGTCTGCAAGTGCAAAAGTCCTAGTCTAATTGGTGTGTTGTGGATAGACCTTGGGCTCACCAACCGACGTCACACCCACTGCACAGAAATTCCTCTTTCATAGTGTGCATGCAGCTAGCCGGGGCAACGACCTCGGAACCAAAGTCCCATTGGAATTAGAGGCATGTCTCCTCAGCTTTGTACAATCTTGTCCAGCACTGGGAGTGTCACTGTATCTGTGCCACTCATCAGCAGCCAAGGAACTGAACGACGATCCAAGGGAATCCTCCTGTCGTGGCGACCTCGGACAACTAGACGAAGCTTCAAGTACTAACTGCAAGCACGCCGTGTCAATCAATGGACATGTAGAGTAGAGACCGAATGGCCTCTGCCTAGTGGTTCAGCAATTCAGCCCTGACCCTTCTTCTGTAACACTGGACGGTGCAAGCAATGGGTAGCTGGCTGCCAAGTGCTGGGGGACCAATCCACAGGCCACAGTTTCGTTTGGAAGGATTTGTGTCCGAAGGGAACGGAAGATCAGCTGTCCTCGTCCATTATGACGAAGCTGTTAAAATAAAGGGTGACGGCATCGATAACGGAGAAAAAGTCTTGCCCCCACTGAATGTTCTCCACCAATTTCCATGCGTTGCGGTGAATGTTTGCAGTTGATGGAGCATGGTGCGTTCACCGACGAGTTCCAACAACGCACGGCACAATATTCCACACCGTCTCAGTATCCGGATCGTCCCCTCGGATATCCAAATGCCGTACCTTCCTGAAATCACGAATCACTTTACGAGCAGAAAAGCAAAGGATCAGAAGAGGTGTCCTTTTTGCCGCAGCTACAAATTAGGTTCCCCCACTCAAAGAAAAATTGCTGAGCAGGGCAAGAGGTTCCACGCATCCGTCATATGACGCATGCACCGCCAGGCCATCGGTGCCAAGCCCGTCGACTTGTCATGCTCCTAAAATTACGAGATTTCAAGGGGCTGAAAACTTGTGATACTCCAGGGAGTCAAAAGCCGGAGGCCTCAAAAAACCCTCTCTTTGTGGGAGTGCTCGGTACAAGAACCCAAATACTCTGGAATCATACAAACTTTCAACTTGACTGACTCCTTTCTGTTCTTTAGTAGTGAAAGTACAAAAGAAAAGTTATCATGAAATTTCGGTGCCACTTTTTGCATTGAATAACTAGTTGCATCCTATTTGATGTAATTCAGAAAATCTGTGCACATATACATGGGGTATTAATCAGTAAGTCCTGGTGTGAATTCTTGAACTAAGTATTGGTTTCCTCTGACATAACGACTTTTATCCAATTTAATATATTTGAGAAAATTAGTGCACACACACATGGAGAAGTAATCCGTGAGTATTAGTTTGAATTTCTAAATCAAATCATGCTTTCTCAATGATATAACTACTTTCATCTTATTTAATATATGGCTTGAACTTGACTGGCTCCTTTCTGATCCTCAGAAGTGCACATACACATGGAAAAGTAGTCAATTCAATTTAGTGTGATTTTTTCAATTAATTATTTCTTCTCCCTCTAATAACTGCTTTTTCCCTCTCTAATAAAAGAAAAACATGACCAAGAGTGGAATGTTATCCAATTTTCTTTGAAATGTTTCAATTTTCCAGTCTTCCTAATGTGGATTAGTGATGGGGAAAACGCAAATATATAGGGTCAGTACCATGACCCTCTTCGATCGGTGGTGTTTAGAGGATAGGCAGAGCGCAATTATTGCTAAAGTGTGATTTATGCAGCCTACGTGGGAGCCCAGGAGGCTGACAGTGGCCATTCAATGGCAGGTGGGCAGGGAGGGGCCGAGCGAGTGTGAATCGGAACGCAAGGCATATGCTCGGATGCCGTCTGGTCGGGGAATTTCGCTGCGAATGTCGTGCTGTGATTGAGTGACGCAGCGATTGACGCTAGAGCTTCGAAATTTCGTGTCAAGTAAGTTGTACTCCACCTTCTCTTGTCCGGCGATTTGAGCGTGATGCCGATTTCACTCTCTCGTCTGCTCTGTAGACAATCTCATTCCTCACCGTCGTTTCTGCTTTCCGTTTTCTGGTTGGTGGTTTGAGGTTGATTATATTCTGCAAAAAATTCCTTCTTCCTGATCGCATCTTGCGATTCCACCGTCGTCGTTGTGGGAGATGGTCCGTCCTGTGACTTTCTTCCTCTGGGATGAGTGCATACGTTGCAAAAGTGACTTAAAGGGCGAAGAAATCTCGCAGAGAGCGGAGAGCTTAGAATCGGTTACTGCCCGCAGAGTGTGCATACGAATGGCATTGTGACTGAAGTGCCTCAGCTCAGGTTCCAGTTGTCTGAATTGCGTGGAGATGATGTGATTGAGTTGGAGGGAATTGGTTTTCTTTTTTCCTGCGGTTTGAACAAAGAGCTGAGTCTGATTGAGCAACCATGGCGCGTTTTCTGTTCAGGATGACAACCGTGACTTTCGCTAAAAGTTTAGTTGCAGGAGGAGCCTTGCGTTTGAGACCAGTGACAGTTGTGGAGAATGAACGAGGGGCAGTTTCACATGGTGCTTTGTTCAGAGATCAAGTGAGGTTTGAAGTTTCATGCTCTGCAAGGTTGCCATTCTCCACAACTGCCGAAACCACTAGACTCTCGTTGCCGCCTCGAATGAGCTGTCTACCTCCTTGGAGAAACTTGGGAGTGGAAGGAGCTACTTCTGCCGTTCTTTCCAGCAGACTGCCTAGAAATAGAGGTTCGGTTATGGGAACGGCTGCAGTTGAAGATGTTGCTGCGTCTTACTTGAATGCATCGCTGAGTGACAATGCCGATATGGAGGCCAATTTTGTGGAGGTGGGAAACAAACTAGCTGATGCTGCCGGAGAAATAATTCGTCGCTATTTCCGAACTGGATTCGATATCATTACAAAAGATGACTTAAGTGAGTGGGCCACCATTTTGTGTACAGTAAGAGAAAATGCGGAATTCTTGATGGCCCTCGTAGAAACAGTCACACCTTTTTGCGACGTGAGTCGTTTTACATGTTTAAACCACGGTTTTGAGAATGTGGATACTAACGACGAGTTACAGCTGTAAGAGAAGATTTTATCGTGTATGCCCTCTAGTTGTCAATGCCTGTCAGTTGCCTTCAATTCTAGTGCTCTCAGTCGAATCAGCCAGTCCCAAAGCCCCCGTGTGTCTTCGTTGGTGTTGATATTATAATCATCCAAAGAGTTTTACGCCATGATAAGATTGCTACCCTTTTTTCACAACCAAAAGTTCGAGTTCTTATGGTTCTCTTTTTTTTTTAAATGATGTGCAGGTCCCGTTACAATTGCCGACAGGGCAGCGGAGGAAGCTATGACTTCCATCATCAAAGACTGCTTTCCCAGTCATGCAATGTACGAACTTTCGCTCACTTCTTTGACCTGTCAGGTCTGCTGTTGAACGGTAGATCGCCAGTAAGTCCAACCGGCAGTTGGATCAAAGCTTCAATTTAGACCATCCTCTCTGATGTGTGCACCTTTTTTGTCTTCCTGCTACTGTGTTTGATTGCAACTTCAGTTCATGGGGTCCTAGACAGGACCTGGCAACAAGAGCGTACTCGCTTAAATATGTCGTCTGAGATTTTTGTCTTCATGTCGAATAGATATGGCGAAGAAAACGGGCTTCATATGCCGGAGGAAGGTGCAGATTATGTGTGGGTTCTTGACCCAATCGATGGGACTAAGAGCTTCGTTACAGGTGAGCACTTGTTTGAGGCTTCCTGACCAGGATGGGATTCTGTGCGTTGTGTAAATGGTGCTGCTTATAAGTCGTCATTTTCAGTTAAGGTTCACAGTGGATAAAGTCGACGTTGCAAGGCTGATAATGTTCTGTTCGTTCAGGGAAGCCATTATTTGGAACGCTTATTGCACTGGTTCATAAAGGAGTTCCGGTAAGATTCGAGCATGGTTCTTAAAGCCGATTCTAAAAATTCGGTCTGATCGTCTAGTTATTGAAGTTCTTGGCCTATTTAAACATGACCTTGAGAACACCTCTGAGGTTGGAAAAACACTTGAGCAAGCTGTAAAGTTACTCTAATTGATTTCGCTAGAAATGGAAGCTGAAAATTAGCTTCATTTCCAATAGCAGTAAAAGAGGAGGAAGTATTAGAGATGTTGGAATCGAGCAGAGACTTGCAATATGTGGAACAAATACTCACCAGTTCTTAGTGGTTGATCTTCTGGCTTAACAGATTCTGGGGATAATCGACCAGCCAGTTCTTCGAGAAAGGTGGATAGGAAAAGCTGGAGAGCGATCAACTTTGAACGGCGTGCCCATAGCCTCGCGCGCTAGTTGCACCTCCCTAAAGAACGCTTTCTTGTGAGACATCGCATGAACCCCTCTTCGTATGAAAAGAAAATACTGAACACCAGTTGCAGATGTGTTAGCTGCTAGATCATTAAGGAAGTTCTGAGTACATCTGATAAGTTCTCATCACCATTAGCCTCATACCATCCAAGAATGACATCCCTTCCATTTATATTCATTTCGAAGCTGAGTGTAGTTTGACTGATGATTGCTGACTGCAGATATACAACAAGTCCTCATTTATTTGCTGGAGCGAAGGAGGAAGCATTTATCCGGATTCGAGATAAGGTTAGCGATGTTGTTGGGTCTGAGAGTCCTTAGCGAGTGATGTGTTTTTGTAGTGCTTTACGGATTTTGAAAAAGGTATTCTATAATCAGTGTTTGTAGAAATCAGAAAATTTCGGCAGCCTTTAAGGGAGCCACCTATCACCCATTTATATCCTGTACTGAGGCCGATTGAACTTGACATTCAAAAAGTTCCGAATGTCTGGAATTGGACAGAGTAGAGGGTCCGCTGCTGTCTCCCAAGTCCCAAACTGGATCTTCGTAGCTATATTTCTTTGTCGTCTACATTTCTCTTTGTCTTTAACATCTGGATTAGCATTTTAGAATTGCTCAGTCTTTAACAACTATAAGAGTTTACGTGATTCAGGTGAAGACACCATTGTATGGATGTGACTGCTATGCGTACGGGCTTCTCGCTGCCGGCCATGTAGACCTCGTGGTGGAATCCGGACTGAAAGTTATTCTCTCACCTTTTCCTCAGTTTGGCCATTCATCGTTTCTTCACCATATGTGTGTTTGAGGATACTGCATGAAAGTAGAACGTTGGGATTGGATAATCCCATTGTGACTAAAAAGCGAATTGTCTGGCAGCCGTATGACTTCTTGGCTTTAGTTCCAGTAATTGAAGGTGCCGGAGGCACCATCACTGATTGGTCTGGCGATAAATTAAGATTCTGGCCCAACTCTGACCATCCGTCTTGTGGTAAGTAAAGGAAGTTTGGATCATATTTTCTTATGTCCTTGTATTTCATATGTTGTACCCGCAGCTTAGATGGCCATGTGTATCATTTCTGAGGTTCTTTCAATTTTTCTGTGTTGCGTAGAGGGTAAAAAATACCTTACAAGCTTGTTCCTCCACATCAAGTCTGAAAACTGTCAAGCTCTGATCTTTTGATATCGTGAGACTGACATCTTCGCTATAAGCAGATGAGACGGGAATGGAAGTGGTGGCAGCTGGCAGCGACGATCTTCACAAGGCTGCCCTAGATGCTCTAGAGTGGAACAGCTCGTAATTAATATGTATTAGAACGTACAGCGGGATCTGTCGACTTATCTGGATCTGAAAACTGATCAATTAAGATTGATTGACGAGGAATCTAAACATGACCTTATTGTAAAGTATGCAGCTGCGCACCTCAACAAGGAGGAAAGGTCTGTATTAGTCAATTCCCTCTTGACATCTTCCAGAGCGTTCCTGTCCGCGAAAATCCATGATCGAGATGACTAACTCATGAAGTGCAAAGACCCATTAAGGCCTCATACAAACTCTGATCATTTCGGGCCACGATTAACTTCTTGTCAGACTACTTCTGACCGTGTACAGTCCAAGCCCGGAAGCGTCCGTGACCTCATTCTTTTAGATCTCTGTCGAGGGAAGCTCAAGGTTCATTCGAACTGTGTAAACACACAGATTGTATATGAGAATATCTGGCTGCACGGAGTACAAGTGCAGTAGATTTTTTACGATTTGGGTTCCACGGTTGTCAATGAAAATGGTGAACTTGTTTGGATACTTTCCTAGGACAATAGATGAATGGATGAAAGTTTATACCAGAGGATCGAGCTTGTCCAGTTTAAGATTTTTACGAGGGCCGATGTTGCTTCTTTGCGGAAGAATGTCCAAGGAGATGGATGGTCGCCAATGGTTGACGTGGTCTCACCCTAACCTTCACAGGTGGTGAAGGGTAGGAGAAAAGGACCGGTTATTTCACAGTGAATGTTGTATATGGATTGTTTTCCACTTTTTTTGGATCACGTGAACTAAACCTTGTATCCATCTTTGGAGCTGAAGAATCTTCCTCATCAAGATGACTAAATGAAGCCCTACCGGAAAGAAGCAGGTTTTCTGTAATCCAGTGCCCGGCTTGGCAGTGAGTACATGGACAAATTTCACAACTCGTCTATGTGAGGAGAGAAGTCTTTTTTTTTACCTTGTCTTCTGTCTACGATAACTCGTTGCGACCATCTCAATACAAGATTATTTAATTCTCCCCTAGGGTTATGACGTACTCACACGAAACCATGGTAGATCTGGTATTCGAATTCATTGTCATGGGCCACTGTGGAATGAAAGGCAACTTCAGGCCACAGAGATGTCACTCAGTTACACGAAGATGTTATTTCTCCTTGGGATACTACGGAGGAAATGTCTGAGAGAGCTGCTGAATATAGCAAAAACTGTGTATTATAAACAAAGACTGAAACTGCAATGCATGAAACGCTAGTACTGCATGCAACCATTTGTAAACTTCGAATTCCAGTCTCTGGTGCTGAGAAGAAGGCGGAGTATCAAAATTTTGCACAAGATGGGAAATAGTAAGCAGAGATTTTCTCCGATTGCGACAAACAATTGACAGCATGCGTTGATTTTTCATGTCACACATGCCCGGTGTGTCAACTTGTGTCAACGACGAGGTCAGAATCCGAGAGGGATGTAGAGTTATTACTGACAAACTGCACACGACTGAAGGCAGCATTTTCAATCACGCTTACCGGCAAGCCTAAAGATTCGATCGAACAGGAACCGTAAGGTTGAGGTGAGCTCAATTAATTCATCTTTCAAGTTCGTGGTTGCTCACGTGTATAGGGCCCGAGCAGTCAAGCTTCCACGACTCCAACTTGAAGGGGTGCGAACATAGTACGTTTTTAACCTACTTCAATATATCAATGAGACATAAAGATATAGTTTACAATACTAGGCTATTGTAAGCTACTTTGTTCTTTAGGTTATTTGTATTCATTATTTGTAAGTGAGAGTAGTTGATGAATAGATAATAATAGCAATTATCAAGAATCTTTGCATTCTCTCTTGGTTATATTATATAATCAAGAGGGCATATTTGTTATTGTCAGTAGATTTTATTCTAAAGATTGGTAAGAAGTTTTTGGATTAAAGCATTATTATTCATTAGATGAAATGGATCTCAAAGTCAATGATCACATAGCTCTAATCCGTACTTGGATATGTAAACCAATGGTTAAATGAGTCTATGATTCGTTTGTTAGTAGTTCTAGTTTCAACTATGATTGGTTTTCACTTGGTACTTGATTTCGAAATCTGATGAAATATCATGATGTAGTTACAATGATTTTTCCTGGAATTAGTAGGGTTTTATTTTTTAATTTTGACTTTTCTTGAAACTAGTACGATAAAGTTTTGACTTTTCAATTTTGCAATTGGAGAAAGATTTATTTCACAAAAAATTATCAAACTTTAGATTAGATATGACTCTATCTAGATAGAGTCATGGAGGCAGAACAATTTTTTGTTTATAGAACAATTTTTTATAAACATTTTGTATTAAAATTCACCTAAATTAACTTTTCAATAAAATTAAATTAATCTAATTTAGACATGGCCGGTTATATACCTAATTTATGTCTTGCATAGACATAACTTGGCTTAGGTAAGCAGCATAAATCTTGGATGAACTCTTAAAAAACTCTTATTAATATGAGTTTACATCATGATCAACATATCTTATGTGAGCCAACTTTTCTTTTTCAATCTATGAAGTTTTTTCTTGGCCTGATTAGACCGATTTTACTCTCATTGTTCTTATCTGTATCTGAACTTAGATGCAAGGATTTATATGGTTGTTTGACTTATCATTAAAAATATAATATTGGTTATGGCATGAGATTATGAGCATTCTACATGTATAGTGCTAATATGTCTTGATATCAAATCTGTTTGGAACAGAATGATTTGAAATTTGAAATTTATCAAGCATTTATTACATATATTGTGTTGGAAGAGATAATTACTAGTCAATCAAAATTGATTTGTGTGGAGTTATAGCACCCAAATTTTCTAAGAAAATGGGTAGCCTAAGGAACTCACTCTTGCTTCCTATGGAGTTATACTCTAAAAGTGTAATAAAAAACTTCATAAAATAAACCTCAAGAGTCTAGCAAACTAGATGATATGAGAAGTCATTTTCTTTAGATTATCGTGTTATGGCCGCACAAGCTGGTGCAATCAATCTACATAAGCAAGTGAAATAATGTACACAAGAAATCGATACAAGGTTCTTGAAGCGTGCATGTCCACATCTTGTGTAGAGCTGAACACATCAAGTTTTTATTCGGTCAGGATCGTGAAGGAAAGTGAAAATTATGCGGAGGTAAGCTATGGAGGAGGCGGATTGATCGATCGGATAGCCAGAAAAGATGAACTTCCTCGTCGGAAGAGGAAATTATGGTGAGGAAAAACGCTCCAAACAACTGAATTTTTAGCTCGGTCGCATTTGGAGCTCTTGTGCAAGAAAGTTCACGGAAAAGTCGGTCAAAAGAGGCCAACAACTTTTATGTCAAAGCTCTCTTCAGACGGTTCGAACGAATTTCGGAAGAGTGATGATGAAAGTACAGAGCAGAGCAACTCTTACGCATCCATGTGACCAGAGCAGAATGACGACCTCAACTTCGTGCTGGCCTAACAAACCTCAAACCTTCTGCGTAATGTCTTCGATGCGCTGGGTCAAACCCGAATTTGGGCATAAAGATGTAGACTTGACTTGTGGGACTCCTTCAGAGGCTCTGTTTCAGGTACGGACGGATTTGTTGCTGCTGTGGTTCATACAACAACGATACGGTACATTCAACATACGAAACGTCTGGAATTGCTCAAGCTCCGTCACAGTGTACTCGTTTTGGACACTGATCTCGTAGGACATCATACTCCAACACATGACGGAAGGAGTTGGCCTCCCCATAACGAGGTCCGTCCCCAAGCAGATGGAGCGCTCGCTCGCTCCAAGTCTCCGCAATCCACAGCTCAACGTACAGCATCTTTGACTTGAACAACCGGACCACTTCTTCTTTTAGCTTGTCCTTCAAGACACACATTTATTGATTCATGTTTGGCCTTGGTTCAATCGGCAGACTTCACAGACGATAGAATAATCGTTTGAGCCTCTGACACTCTTTCTCTTCTTCAGCCATCATACATCAATTCTGGAGTCTTTCTTTCATACTAAGTATAAATCTTCAGTCCCTCATCTCTTTGAGGGTGATTTGTAGTAGACAACATATTGACTTTTACCGTAAACATATCCAAAATTCAGACTAAATCCTGGATACATTATATAAGACTACTTTTCTATGTCATGATGTTGACGAATCTCCTATAAGAATAGTTTGTAGATTGAATTACAAAACAAAGTACTCTCCTGGATCTAAAATTAAGCCAATATTGTTGAGACAAAATTTTTAGAAAGTATAAGTTAATAGTAACATTTATTTGATGGGATCCTTGGGAATTCAACACATGATGAGATTCAACAGTTTTCATTTTACAATATGGGACCTAGACACCCATGCATCCCACCGTTCCCATGTTTTAATAGAAATTCTTATAATCCAAGATTTGCACCGAGGGGAGGTATTGTCACTATTGGACTAAAGTATTCTCATGGCAAGGAGCATATTTTGGTGACTCGTTTGCAGCAATGTTGTAAGATAGCAACAGTCATTTACGTATAGTCCACAGCGAATTTCAGAAATTCTTTGTGAACCGTGTAGTAGAGATTTATGTGATGTGGTGGCAGCCACGTCCAAAGCCATTTAGACATTTAGAATAGCCATTTTGAAATTTCTTTGTGAATTCACAACCGAAATGCCCTAGAGATTCTTGCCTTGATTGCATCCCAAGAAATGCTACGAGCTTACTGTCCGGAATCACCGCATGATCCATATTGAAGCATGACTAAACTACATGTATTATTTAATTATTTTTTATTGGAACATGACCCATGGGGATGCATGGCCGTGGAGGCCGTACCTTTGGATAAAATGAAACCTAGCGGATACTATCAAGTGTTGTGCATTCCTAGGGTTCCAATTTTTTTTCCATTAGGAACAAAATGATCTTTTGATCCAACATATAGTAACACATGCTAATCTACATAATAGAGTTTGTGCGTGAGCGTTGCTTTCACTATACATTGACATGATGTATTCATAAAATTCACTTCTTACCAAAAATATATTATAAGCTCACTAAATGAAATTTATTATCTTATATTCGATTCATCAAATTATAAAAATAATAATAATTGATATCTTGCGCTATAATTTATGCTCATAATAGTGCCACAATAAGATTGAAATATCCATTTATCTACTCAAATATAAATACACTTATATTTATCAATATTTTTTTTATTCTTGATATCATTTATGTTGCAATTTTAGATTTGAATTTTATGATGATAAAAATTTTTAATTTTTTTATTTAAGCACAATGAATATTTTTTATCTTTTGTCTTTGTTTTTAGTATTCATTTAGGTCTAGACTAAACTGATCTAACTTAACCCTTGTTACGGTAAGGTTAAGGAGTAGAGATGTTTAAAGTTCTACTTGAGCATTTTTGCGTTTACTTATGTAGAACCTTTTAGTTCTGTGAACATGGACTGGCAGCAATGAACTACGTATACCTTTGTTGGCTTATCGATGAATATTTGTGTATTTTTGCCT